TGCAATTTAACATAATTAAGAAACGACCTTGTATCTTGAGAACTATTGACATTTTCAAAGATATAAGCTCATCCTGATCTTACACTTATCAAGAGTTTTCATTTGAGTACCCACATGCATTTTCATATATTTTTCATGTATACATATATATGATATATATAAATATATGCAAAATGCATGTGGGTGCTCAAATGAAAGCTCTTGATGAGTGTAACATCAGAATGAGCTTATATCTTTAAAAACGTCAATATTTAAGAAAGTACAGTGCAATTTAATAAGTCATTATTTAATAAAGCAAAATTCTAATTTTTATAGTTCACAAGACTGCAAGATTACTAGTTATTAATTAATTTCATATAATTTTTAATAAAATTATAAATAAAAAATATTTTTTAATAAATTACTCTAATTTATAAAAAAGTATTTGTATTTATATCAAACGAAGAAAAAATTCCAGAGTAAAAAATACTGGATTGAAATAAAAATAATATCGATAAATCAAAAGATATTTTTACATATAAAAAATCGCTTGGTGGTCGTTAGATAAAAATAAACTAAAAAAAAAATATAGTGCCTGTCAATGACACTCAATCTTTATCAACCGACAGGCATACAGAAAAGAATAACACACACACAGACATTCTCACTCAACACACACACATACTTACACACCAAACGATTGTTTATCTCTCATTGTACCACTGAATATAAAGTATAAAATGTCATGGTGAAAATTGAGGGCAATAAAACAATACAGTAAAAAATAAAACTTAAAATATTCTCACACTTAGTACTCGAGAAAAATGTAGGTCAGTGTTAGGGATAATTAAACGTTAAAAAATTCAGAGACACTCTTACTTATCATTAGAAACAAATTAATAAATAATATTCACTTTTTCACAAAATAATTTACCTGACAACGATTACCAATTAATCGAAAAATCTCTTCATTTTCCTCTGGTTTGAGGAGCACACATCCCCGATGCTCTTTCGCACCCGTCGACTTCATTTTCTCATCAATATAATTATTTCCAGGTTATGTTCATCACTATCTACTGTTCCCTGGTTTTGATGTATTTAAAAATACACGTACAATAATGGACATCTTAAAAAACATATTTATCATTATTATTGTTGTAAATTAACAATATTAATTTTTTTAATCAACCACAGTAATTAAAAAAAATAATTAATAATAATTATATGGTAAGTTAAATGCCCGTCCGTTTGACACTTTAATGAAAACATTTATAGTTGCTCTTAAATTAAAACTCGTAGTTGCTAAACTAAAATCTTCTCTGCTCTGATGTTTGTTTCAGATGAGTCTTACAACTTACAACTACTACATTAACCAAGTACAAGTACACTAGTTACCAGTATCAGTAGTAAAACACCACCCACGAATCCCACGAAGTGCTGTCTCTCAAACAGGAAACTCAAATGACGGTTTGATGACATTCCCATGCATCCGGTTCGTTTGGACCTTGTTCCATCATTCCTCCATTTTCTTGGGACAAAATATATCACGTCAATTGTCTATACTTACACGTTAAAAAAAAATATATACAACATTAATACATTTTATTTATACGTATCAAGGCAATAATTACTTTTATTAATTAAAAATATTAATTGATAGGTACTTTATCCTTGACATCGTATTTTATTAGAAATAGTTCCTATGGCAGACATTTTTTTTTTATTATTCTTTTTAAATGAAAATTAATTTATGACAAAGTTAGCAGTCACTTATTGACCATTTTTTAATTTTTTTTTTAATAAACAAATTTCTTCCAAAAGATTATTAAAAAAAATTTGTATTTTTAATTTTTTGAAATTTCATCTAAAAATTTATTAATTTCTTTTTATTAATTAAATTACAACTAAAAAGATATTATAAAAAATTGCACTTATAGTTTTTAAAGTTTTTTACATGTGAAAAATTTTTTTTAATTGTTTAATTGAAATTTTTTCAATAAAAAATTTTTAAATGTCGGCTAACTTAATTTTCATAATTTCTTCATGTCAATTTTTTTTTATAATGTTTTTTGCAATAATTTGTTAGTTAAAAAAGAAGTAGAAAAAAAATTGACGTGTATAAATTTAAAAAAATAAAAAATGCAATTTTTTATAAATACTTTTTCAAGAAAAATTTTTTTGTTAGATAAAATTAAAAAATTATTGACTGTTTTAATGACATTGTTTTTAAATAATAAACAAAATATAAATCTTGTAAAAGTTTGAAAATTTATACCAACCTTTTTTTATGACATAATTAAAAAATAAAAAAGTTTGATAAATACCTTTTGGTTAATATTAATAACACTGAAGTTAGCCGTCAACTGTCAATTTTAAAAATTTTTATGAAAATAAATTCAGCAGATATTAGATAATTTTAGGAATGTTTTTAAACAAATAAATCATATAAAAAAAAAAAAAAATAGAAATTTTAATAAATTAAAAAATTGTAGTGACAGCTAAATTTAATGTCATAAATTTTTTTTAACAAATCAATTATAATAAAAAAATGCCTCTAAAAATTTTCACTTGTAATATTTATTAATTTTCACATGTAAAATTTTTTTTTTATATTATAATTTAATTGCTATAAAATTCTAAAAAAATTTCCAACTTTATTGTCATTAAATTAATATTAACTAACCTTTTAGTTTATAAAACATACAATGGCACGATTATCAACTAAAAAATTCCGGTGTTATCACTCTAGGTATTTTTTGTTTTTCGATTATGATTATTATATATTTTTATCGGTGATTAAATGTAATTGATTAATTTATCGACAAAATCAAGGCTGAGCCGAAGATGGAAAGCTAATAAATAAAGTTTGCATGTATGTGAGTCATGATGACGCATTGGTGAATAATAAAATGTAAATATTAATAAAAATTATTATTATTGTTATTTAATAATTATTTCATGATAATAACAATATCAATAATAATAATAATAATAATTCAATTAATTTTTTTTACTTTTTAAAATGAGCTCAAAAAAGTATGAAAATTTATCCGACATTTAAAAATTTTTTTTATTGAAAAATTGACTACAAAAAAAAAGAAAAAAAATTTTCACTTGTAAAAAACTTTAAAAACTATAAATACAATTTTTAAAAAAATATTTTTTTTCTAATTTAATTATTAAAAACGTCAGCTAACTTCAGTATTATAAAAAAGCGCGTTTGAATTATTTGGCGGGCTTTATAAAAAAAAAAAAAAAAAAAAAAAAAAAAAAAAAAACAAGTAACTGATTAGATTGATAGAGGGAGTAGAGAGAGAAGGAAGATGTTTTTTTTTTATTCATTTTAATTTTCTCGCGGGCGCAGATTGCAAATGGCCGTAAGTGGACACAACTTGTTCACCTATCATGTCAACAAATAATGTCGTGCATTATCGGATAATAAATGTAACAATAGTGATGATAGTGTCGGTGTAGGGGTGATTTGTGGCAATAAATGCCATTAGTGTTAATAATTAGTTTTGAGTTATTTTTGCGCGGGAAAAAAAAAAAATATTAGTTTAAGTAATAATATAATAATTATTACACACCTATAGAGAGTTGTAACGCGTTTGCTGGGTGATAGCGATGTCTGGATACCGTAGAGTTAATTATTATGAGCTGTGTCGACTGTGCACCAGCAGCGAGGGCAATAAAATGAACATATTCCGCGACGAGGGACGTAGAAGACAGTTGCAGACTAAGATACAAACTTATTTACCTGTCCAGGTATGGATTTATTTATTTTTTCATTTAATACAATAATAAATAAATTAATGATTTAATTTATAATAAAATGTGTAATGGAATATTTTTTTTCAGGTACTTGAAGAAGACTCGTTGCCAAAGATAGTGTGTCATGAATGTGTCAGAAAGCTGGAGAGCTTCATTGAGTTCCGTGAGACTGTGGTCAGTGCTGAGGGCATGCTGGAGTCCTACTTCACGTCTCTGAGATTCTCTGAGGACTTTTTGAAGGAGGGCAAAGTTTATGTGAAAAGCACGGAGAAACCGGAACACCAGTCGCCGGTAGGAGAAGATCCGCTTAAGATTGAGAAAATTGTGACAGTTCCAGCGGTGCCGAGTCAGATTATTATAGAGCCGCAGCAAGCTCAGCACCAGCCGGTTGTTGTTAGCAATCTTAATGCTTCTAATATTCAAATTATCAGTGGGGTTCAAGCTAGGGTCCAACAGTACAAGTGTGCCATGCAGGTATGAGTTTTTTGGATGGCCAAAAAAGGGATTTTTTTTAATTATTGTGAAAACATTTTAATAAAAAAATTGCAAGAGCAGATTTTTTTTAAATATTTTTTTTTTATAATTGATTTATAATAATAAAAAAAATTATCAGATATCTGCTGATTTTAGTATCATTTTTTTTTTAAGTTTTAAATTTAATTGATATGAAAATTCATGTATATATAGAAGTTACTTTTAATTTTAATAATAATTTCTTCTTATTTAAAAATATAATTTTTTAATTTCTTGTAGATGATCTCCAAGGTGCTTTAAAACAAATTTACTTGCATTACTCTTCAATTTGAATAATTGTATTTAAAAAACTTTTTTTTATAAAATATTAATGAGTGATTTATTGAAGAAATTATAAAAATATTTATTTTTAAAAAAATAGCTGCAAAAAAATTTTTTTAACTGATAATAAAAATTTTATCCTCAAATTTGAATTAAATTAAAAAAAAAATCAATTTTCTATAAATCTTCAGTGTACCTATATAAGGCCTTGAAATTATTAAACATTCTGATAAAAAATATCTTCCAGATGCAACCTGGAGGAGTAGCTGCAGCAGTAGTTGAAGCTACAGCAGAAACTCATTACAGTTATCAGCAACAAACCTCCCAAGTGTCGCCGCAACATCAGCCTACCCATGGAAATCGGCTTGCTGATCAGCAGCAAGTCCAGCAAATTCAAGTTCAAAATCAAATATCAAGCCAAAGTCAAATTAACCAGCTGCAGAGCACAAGACAGGTACAAGTGACACCCAATCAGCAGCAGCAGCAGCAGCAGCAACAACAACAACAACAACAACAACAACAACAACAACAACAACAACAGCAACAGCAACAGCAGCAGCAACAACAACAACAACAACAACCTCAACCTCAACCTCAACCTCAGAACCAGGCTCAACAAAATCAACAAGCTCCTCAGCCCCAGCAGATCCAACAGCCTCAACAACAACAACAGCAACAACAACAACAACAACAACAACAACAACAACAACAACAACAACAGCAGCAGCAGCAGTGTCAAATGACCCAAATGCAAATTCGTGAATTTGAAAAGAGACTGCAAATAGAAAAACAAGTACGAATGTCACCGCAAGAGAATCAAACGCATCAAAATAACAACGTGTTAATAAAAGCAGAAATAGCAGCGGATCAAAATCAGAGGACATTAAAATCAGAAGCTGTAGACTCTCGTAATATTAATTCGCCAAATGAAAATGTACAGCAGAGTTACGCAACTGTCCATCAGGGTACGCAAGAGGTGTTCCTCAGCTTGGGATTTAAAGAAGCCGGACTTAATCCTAATACCCAGCAATCGAGGGACGAAACCAAGGACTTCAGAGATTATATTAAAAGTTCAACAGACGATGCACTGTCACGTAATTCTATCGGACAGATATCGGAATTTCTTCGAATTCGGTCGTGTCCCGAGCCGACGACATTGATTACCGTTAATCCCCAAGTTATCTGTCAGACTACCCGAGGCTTGGCGTGCCGAGAGTGTGGAAAAACATTCGACTCTGACAGTCAAATGAACAACCACCAGTGCCCCAATTCTCCGATAATAAGTGACATTACGGACATCAGCAAGGAGGATTCCGTTCAGAATAACGCCAACTTGGCGACATTTAATTGCGACATTTGCAGCAAGCCTTTCAAGAGGAAAGAACACTTGTTCCAGCATCGGAAGCTTCATACTGGGGAGAGACCTTACGTTTGTACGACCTGTACCAAGGCTTTCAGCCGCAAGGAACACCTGGTGAGGCACTCTGTCTCTCACACTGGACAGAAAATGCATGATTGTGAGATGTGTGGCAAAAGCTTCTCGCGCAAAGATAATCTGCACAAGCACCGGAAAACTCACGGGGTAGCTGGTCCTTATATTTGTGAGACTTGTGGCAAGTCTTTTGTCGTCAAGCATTACTACCTGGTCCATCTGGGGACTCACGCGTCCCTCGACGGGGACAATTGCCCGGATCCGCTTCCGTACAAGTGTGATCAATGTCACAAGGCCTTCTCGGTCAAGCAGTATCTTACTACTCATAAATCCCGGCATAGAAAGAATGCTAATGCTAATAATACTGGTGGTTTGTCAAACTCTCAAGCTCAAACTCCCCAGCAAGTACCAACAGTTCAAAATAATGGGATAAGTGTCCCCGCTAATGGGGTTACGAATACTAACGGGCAACCTAATGATAATGTTGCTGAAATTCACAGCGTTATTGAGAGAAATGACTCACAGACTAGGCAGCAGCAACACGGATCATTTGATAACAATCAATATCACGGTAATGTTCAACAATTTCAATGAGATAAAGATAAGCGTGTGTACTACGTACTCTTACCTAATGGCAATAATCACAAAATTGTCCTTGTTTAAGTTTAGTATTTTTTAAGGTTCTTGCTTAGACTTGACTAATTTTTTTTTTTTTTTTTTTCATTTGATTAATTAAATCAAACGTTGAATTGAAAAATTATTTAATTAGTGAAAATTAATTGCAATTATTTTCTGAATGAAATTTAGAAAAAGTTCAATTTAAATTTTTTTCTGAAGAAAATTAATAAAAGAAATTGGGAACAACGGTTGACTATCTCTGTAACTTCCCGCTATTCATACTTAAGCGCTCAAAATTAGACTTATTACTTTTTGAGCTGTTCGAGAAAAACCGCAATAGTTTTTGAACGAATTAACCAATTTCGACGGAATTGGCTAAAGTTAAGAGCTGTTTAGTTTTTAAAATTGATAGGTAAAGTCGTTTTAAGGTAGTACTACTACCGTTACCACAAGTGTCAAATGAGTGCTTTGTGTAATTTGGCTTCAGTAGTATTTTCATCTGACAACGTCGCGTAAAAACTAAAGAGATAGAGATATTTTCTGTTTCACTCAACTTATAAGTTCATGCGCGGAAATCTATTGCGCATACGTTTATTTATTTTTACACGAATTGTCAGTTGCGTGTGTCTATTTACAGAAATGTCAGAGTTAAATTTATTAAATTGCACAAAAAAAGTATTTAATTAGAAAGGTAAAGTAATTACCGAAAAGATGTATAAAAAAAATCTAAAACAAATCGCAGTGGTTAAGAAATTAAACGAAAAAAAAAAAAAAAAAATTGATGTATGTTTGAATTTCGCGCGCATCCTAACCTTTTCTGCGGCGGGGTCATCTGAGTGATCCGAACGGAAATGTAGCCAATGTAATAATTGTAAAGAAATTCAAAAAGTAACTTGCTCTCTAACAAGTTATATACATTTAATACTTCATACATAACACTTAATGTATGTCAAATAATAGTAAATTCTATATAATAAAATACACACATTAAAACATTTAGATATCATATTTATGAAAAAAATTAAACTGTAACCCATGAAACATTACAAAAGAACGACAATTGATCTGTCTTCCAAGTCTTCTAAGTTATAAGTAAGAAATTAGTTGTCGGTAAGATAAATTTTTTTAGGTAACTGGTGGTGGAGGAAATTTAAATTATATAATCTAAATTCAAAAACAACCTTTTTATTCTAAATAAGAATAATTCATCTTGAAAATATTTATTGTTTTTATTTATTAAAATATACAAATATTGATTACTAAAATAAAACAAAAAATCGCTTATTTAATGAGAAATTATTTATTTTTCTTTATAAAAGCTTGAAAAACTATAAGTGCAATTTCTTAAAAATATCTTTTTAGTTGTAATTTAATTAAAAAAAAAAATCACAAATTTTTAGACGTCTGCTAACTTCAGTGTCATAAATCTCAACGTCCAGTTTTGTGAAATAAAATAAAGTCTGTGATTTCTCATAAGGGTCAATGTTAAAGGCAAAAATTTATAAATGTTAATATCTTTTTTTCAGGACTTGCTCAGGTTCCAAAAATTTTACTGCTTAATTATGATATTATAAAGTACCAATATGCCAAATTTCATTAAATTCTGAACGTCAATTCTAAAACCGGTAGTACTACCTTAAAGTAATTTTAAAAAAATAACATTTAAAAAAAAATTTTTTCGTAGTTTTTTTGAAATTTCTCAAATTTTAAGTAGTTGCTTCTGAACTTATAACAACCTCTGAAGTTGTTGCTGATGATGGTTCTTCAGTTGTTGATAGTGGTGATAGATTTGTTGGTTTTGTCGGACGTTGACTTGAAGGATGAAAAGAGTCAATTAATTTTGGAGGATAAGGATGAAGATGAGGGTGTGGTTTTTCAAACTGATAAATTAATACAATCTAACACTTGATATTGGGAAACAGTATTTTCAATTTGACATTGATGGAGATAACATAATAGCCGATAGGAAATTACGGAACGGCGTTTTGAATAACTTAAAAAATGTGATTATCTATTTAGATTTTTTTATTGATTATTTATGTACAGAGTCAAGAATTCTGGTATTTTTTTTGTTAGAATATATAAGAATATACAGATAGTGATTATATTTTATATAACAGAAAAATTAAAATTGTAGAAAACATTTATATAATTTTCATTTAATAGAATGAAGAATTAATGACATGAATCATTTGATAATTGGAGCATTTTTCAACGTATTCATGATTACAGTGTTCAGTTTTTACATTAACAAAATAGCAATGCTGGCATTTAACTCGATATAAATTACATCCGTAGGAACGTTGTTCCTTGTGAACATACTGGTAATTGAATGTGTATGGAATATATGTAAACGGTCGAACCAATTGTTTAATAGGCCAAATTTGATAAGCTTTAAAGTTATTACAATCTCCCACCAATGAATATGTACAGAAACTTTGATTATTGAGATAATTGCGGCAATTAATTCGGTACCAATTGCAATATTCTGGTGTTTCGTGTTTCAGAACAAACTGCCTGGTGTGAAAGATGTGAGCAGTATCTGTACTTTCATTGTTTTGTTCTGCGGTTTCTTCAGTAGTTGGTGTTTCTGCTGTTGAAGTACTGATTACACCAATAGTAGCCGAGTTCGGTGTTGTATTAATAGTCTCAAATGTTGAAATTGGTGCACCTGTAGTTGATTCAATTGGTGTTGTTAGAGCAGGGAATGATTCTGGCGTTAAAGTACTAAATACACCATCTGTAATTGATTCGAATGGTGTCGTTGAAGCAATAAATGATTCTGTAGTTATTTCAGGTGTCAAAGTAGTAGTTGTACTATCTTCAGTCAATTCATTTGGTGCTGTTGACACGAAGAATGATTCTGTAGTTGTTTCAGGTGTTAAACTAATAATTTCATCATTTGTAGTTGGTGTTGTAGTACTACTTATTTCAGTTTCTGTAGTTGGTGCATCAGTAATCATTTCAGGTATCAAAGTAGTAGTTGTACTATCTGTAGTTGATTCGATTGGTGTTGTTGACAGAAAGAATGATTCAGTAGTTATTTCTGGTGTCAAAGTACCAATTTCATCATTTGTAGTTGGTGTTGTAGTAATACTTATTTCAGTTTCTGTAGTTGGTGCATCTGTAATTATTTCAGGTATCAAAGTAGTAGTTATACTATCTTGAGTCAATTCATTTGGTGTTGTTGACAGAAAGAATGATTCAGTAGTTGTTTCTGGTGTCAAAGTACTAATTTCATCATTTGTACTTGGTGTTGTAGTACTACTTATTTCAATTTCTGTAGTATGTGCACTTGTAGTTGTTTCTGGCATTACAGTACTAATTGAACCATCTGTCGTTGAATTAATTGATGTTTCGTTAGCAATCGATGGTCTCAATGTGGTCATCTCTTCAATTACTCCTTTCAAATCCGTTATCGTAGATTCTGTTGGCGCTGTCTGTAACATTTTTTTTTTTTAATTAAATGATTTCATAATGAATAAAAGAAAAAAACTACTAGGATCTACTAAAGTATGATTGTTCAAATACACGCGGATAGAAATTAGTATTTTGATTTAACCTAAAAATTTATATGAACAAGTTACTCATGTTTGAAAAAAAAATTACAATAATTACCTGAACAAGAGCACTGGCGAATAAAATCACAAATAAATAGAACAACATCGTGGTAAATAATAATTCTTGATTTACTAAAAAAAAATCTCGGTACTTTACTTTAGACGGTGTAATTAGTATTGAAGCGCCGGAACGTGAATGATAACTAGGGATTGGGTCTGTAAATGTTTATCATGGCCTTAAGGGATGAGTAATTAGAAAAATATACACTAATTACTATACTCTTCATGTATAGTATATACATACAGACAATTTTCAATTTACTTAGCGGGAAGTTAAAAAATTGAACTTTTATTAATTTCTAATAAAATTTAGAAAAAAATTAAATTTTAAATTATTTTTTAAATAAAATTTTTGAAAAATAGAAAGAAAGTACTATTTTAATTAATTTAAAAAAAAAAAAAATCAAACAAGTACACGCGCTTATTATCAGCAGACATAAAAAACACTGCCGTAAATCTGATAAAATTTCAGCTGTTTTGTTTACTTTAAAAAATCAATTAAATATCATTTTACATAAATATATTAAAAACTCTGAAAAATTTTTTGTATTTTAATAATTGAGATAATCAAATGATAAAATCAAGCAAACAAAACCCCGATTACACAACAGATACCACATAAATACATACATACATATATAAAATATATGAATAAAGATTTGAATTAATGTGGTTTAAGAGACTGATAAATATATTCAGATTAATGGTGTATATATTTTATCAGATACAAAGTATTATCGAATATGAAGACAGTGAACTGCGTAGCCGATTTTAGCCTAGATTTTTTTTATAAATATTAATAATATTAATACTATTATTAAAAAAATATAATTTCAACTAGGCAGTTGTGACTAATGGGAGCAAGAGTTTTAAAAAGAATGAAAGGTTTAAATATAAATAAATAAATAAATAATAAGTATATACAGACTTAATAAGAAAAACATCAAAAATATTAACTATTATAATTTTTGTGCAGTACAGATTAAATAACGGAGCTTTGTTTCCGTTATTAAAACTATTTTTTCATAAGATTCCAATAGATAAATATTTTATATTCGATAATATTTATTATTCAATTTATTTTATTTTATATAAATATATTAAAATAATATTCTTTCGCTTTTTATTAAGAGATAAGACATTAAATTGATTTATTATTTTTGGAGCTATGGTTTAAAAAAAATCTTAAATTATTGGCAATTAATTTATTGATGAAAAAAATTTTTAATGTGATTTTATTGATATTATTATTGGATTAATTTAATGCTGTGCAATAATTATCGCTGTGCGATAATTTAGTCAAAATTATTTTGTATTTATTTAAAATTTTTAATATATATTTTCGGCTTAAATCAAACGCGCCCCCAATAGCTCTAATAAATCAATTGTCAAAAATTAATTATAAAAATAAATGGTGTGTTTGAAAATTTAATTTATATATTTGTATAAATATGTATATGGATAGAATATAAATATTAAGACCAAAGATATATTGTGAAAAAAAAAAAAAAATAATAATTATTATTATTATTGAATCGTGTGTAATGTTTATCTAACTAGACCGATAGTTAACATTAATTATTATTATTTTTTATTGATTAATTGAAAAGTGTTAGTGTGACTGGAGTGCAAGACTTAATAGAGATTTAGAGTGCCATCGACCAAACTAAATTGCATTTTATGATCTCTTATTATTAGTTATTATTATTAATTACAATTTAATTGTAATTAATTTAAGATGAAAAAAAAATACAGGAAGAAATGTGTGAAAAAAAAAGAATGTTATTTGTGTAAAATTGATTAAAAGAAACTGATATTTGTATTTGGCTAATTTAGAATTATACCTGATAATTTAGTGCGATATTTAGATAGATATAATCTATTAATCCATCGCAATTATTAATAAAAAAATAATTCAATATTGTCTTCTTTTTATTGTCTTTCCACTACTCCTTAACTAAGTAATTAAAAATATTTTTTTTAATTAAATTAAATTATCTTCTAACAACATAGTTTAGATGAAAATTAAGTTAGCCGACATTTAAAAATAAAAAAAATTTTTTTTATTGAAAAAAAAATTGTCATTTGTTAAAAACTTGAAAAACTGTAAGTGCAATTTTTAAAAAATATTTTTTTATTCTAATTTAATTATTGAAAAAAAATCAAAAAATTAAAAACGTCGACTAACTTTAGTATCATATTAAATTAGCCGATATCTGAAAATTTTTCTAATTTATATTATTGAAAAATTATTAAAAGAAAAAATTTCACATGTAGAAAATTTTAAAAACTATACGTGTAATTTTTTTTAAATATTTTTTTAGTTCTAATTTAATTAATAAAAAATAATCAAATATTTTCTTTCGGCTAATTTTAGTATCTTAATTTATAATAGTAAAGATAGCCGACATTTTTGATTTTTTTATTATGCTTAATTTATTAAATTACAACTAAAAAATATTTTTAAAAAATTTCACTTATAGTTTTTTATGTTTTTAACAAATGAATAAAATTTTTTTAATAATTCTTTAATAAAAAAAAATCATAAATAGTATATTACACTACAAGGGCCGAAAGTTGAATTTTCAGCCCTGAGCGTCATTATGCTAAGCGAGAAAGAAAATATTGTGCAAGAAATTATTGCTGAGAATTTTTGTAGCGAAAGATTTTTGCATGAGAAAAAAGAGACGGTCACCGCTAAAAAAGTGTCTCTACCTGTCAATGAATAAAAAAAAAATTTATTCACTTTGTCTAATTTTTTAGAAAATAATTATTATATATTTTTTTTATTTAATTATTATTAATTTTATTATTATAAAAATTGATAATATTTATAAATGAATGAATAATAAGGTAAGAACAATTGTACCGTGGTTGGGGAGCCGGTATCAGTTGAGCACTACTGTTGAGTTCGCATTAGTATAGTCTACCATTAGTCCGGGTAGCGAACGCGCTCGCTTTATCGAAAATCCGCTCGCGTTCAACTCGCCTATTATTTGACCCCAATCAAAAATTAATTTTTTTTCAAAATAGCCAAGTTTTTCGCTATTAAATTCTAGATTTTTTAAAGTAGGTGCGAGTGCTGTAGTAAATTTAGTTTTGGAGATATTGGCTTCCAAAAAAAAAGCGGTTTTTTGATTTTTAAAAATCAAATTTTTGTGATAAATATTTTGAAAAATATTAAAAATGTTCCTTTTATTACCAGAAATATGTGGAAAAAATCAAAAATGAAATCGGTTGATTTTTCAGCTTGCTAGCTCAATTTGTTTATGAAACTTCGATTGTTAATAACTAATAAACTATAAGTCTGACAGAAATTTACCCGAAAACAAAGTTGTAGATTTTTTTATGCTCTACAAATTCTATGTAAAAACTTAACCCGCCAGATTAATAGTTTCAGAGATATTTAATTTTTAATTTACGTTTTTTTTGTTTGCCTATTATTTAATAACAAATTGAGACCACCATTAGATACTTGTTAGAATTTCATATTAACCTACTTGGATTTGAAATTTCAAGAAATTAAAATTTTTCGATCAACTTCCAGTTGGCACAGCCAATTTGGCTAATTTCTGTGGGCTAAAAAGAATTTTTTAATTAAAATTCTTCTAAAAAAAAAAAATTAATTACAAATTCGACTATAGTCTTCACAACTTAACCAATATTACTTCAACCTCGAAAAAAAAATTGAAGATAATTACAATGAAAATAAAAAAAAATAAAAAATAGGAAGTAAAAGTCAATAAATATTTTTTTTAAAAACTGTAATTATTATTAATCGTAATAATATGATTATTGACAATGATGCGGCTATGTGCACATTAAAACACCTTATTCATTTTATCTTACAAGTCCAGCTTCTCGTACACTATGTACAAATATAATTATCCTAAACATTAATAATAATAATTAATCATAATAAACCTTGTTTGTTAATATACCGAGGTTATACATTTATTTGATTAGTTAACTAAATACGTTTTATTTCTTCTTCACATATTCATATTAATATCAATGTTAATATTTACCATAATAATAATAATAATAATAATTAATTCTATCTATACAATATACAGGCTCTTAAAACTCTTCTTATCACTGGCAATTATTTACATCTTAGAATAATAAATATAGGGTATGATTTATGGGGTTTGTTTATTTTGTTTCTTCTCAATGAGTTTTATTATTAAATAATTCTTACTATTATTTAACTAGACATTTATTATATCCGATAGAAAAATTTAGCTAAATAAAATAAAAAAAAGTATTATTAAAAAAGATTGAGGCAGATCGTACCAAAGATTTTGTCGGCACATATAGTTAAGATTTCTTCAACAATTTGTACAGGATTTCTTGTTGTTAATTTTATATTTTTAATAATTATTTTATTATTTAGTAATTAGTATTGCCATTATTTTAGATTGCTTTGAATTTAAAAAATTCAAGGACAATCTTTGGTGCTTTTAAATCAACATACAGTTGATTTATTAATTTAATTAATTATTTTCACTCACGTATCATCTTCTTTCAATAAAAATTGATTATAATTAATTTAACATTAATTTCTATCAAACTATAAATAAGCTTAATGGAAGATATGCTAATTCTGTAACATTAAAAATTATTTAATTATTTTTTTTATCCGTCCTTTATTTGTAAATAATTAAGTGCATTAATTAAAAGTATTAACACTTTGGAAGTAACGGTTGCACAGCCGTTGTCAAGATTTATTTTAGTTACAAAAATGGTATTGACAATTACAACTGAAAAAAAAAAAAAAAAAAAAAATATTTAATTTTTGTATTACAATATTATTATTTACATTTTAATTTAATAATTAATAAATAGGAGCGAAATAAATTTTATAAAAAATTCTATTATTTCTTCTCGTTAATTATATTATCAAAAACAACAATTAATCCAGACATTTATTTATTTAAGCTATATACACCTGTAGATCATGGCACGATCACTTTTGTTACGTTAGCCGTGAGTATTTTTTATCAATTGAAATAAATAAATTATTTTAAAGAATAAATTCTGTGCGTAAGATTTCTTCTTCCAAATTAATAATTTAGATTTATATTTAATATTATAAAGGTAATTAAATAACATAAAATTTTTTAAAATTTCAATTTATACTATTTTTTATAATAATAATAATAATAATATGAATGTACATAAAAGTGGCGATGAAAAAATTATTAAAAAATAAACAACTTAATTTTAATGACTCAGATGAAAAAAATTAATCCCTTTTATTTATTTTTTTCATTAAATGAGCTTATTATTATACTGAAATAATTAATATTATTTTTTTAATAATCCTTTGTTCAAATAATCACGTTAAGTAATTTATATAATAGTTAAAAAATTATTTTATTATTCAATAATTGGTTTTTTGATCACTCACTTCTTCATTAATAAATTACAAACATTTTTCACTCGATCATAAACGCCGTAATTTTTATAATAGATATTTCTTTAATAAATATATCAAGATTCTTTTTTCAATAAAAAAATGTTTATACTTTTTTTTTTTTTTTTAATTCTTAATCATTGTATAAATTTAAAAAAAAATTAATGTGATTTTACAAATATTTTTTTTTTAAAATGAATTTTTAATTTTGTTATTACAGTAATAATTTTTTTTTTTTTTTTTTGTACAATAGTAAATTACTCATGGCCTAAGATACCTATCAATCGTTATCTTTGAGCATTTTATATTTCTTCAATTATTTCAGTAATTAATTAATTAATAATTAATAATTTTATCTGTGTTTGACAATAATTTTTATAAATATACCTAATATGCTTTTAATCTTTATGCTCACAAACATTTTTTTATTAACTCACACAAAATCACTTTCGCTTTTAAAAATTACAATTTTACTTCCACATATTTATTTTATATCAATATAAATCTGATACAAAAAGAAAAACAATTAAAGGAAAAAATACGGCGATAAAAAAAAATTTAACTAAAAAAAAAAATATTAAAAAATATTTTGATTTATCTTTTCACCTACTGTACACTGACAGAAAAAAAAAAAAATAATTATTATTATTAAAAATAAATATATACATAAAGAAAAATAATAACAGAAATTAATAATTAAAAAATATCAAGAGGATAACACAAAAATATTTATTTTCACGGAAAGAACAAGATGACACTGGATATCTCAGATTATACTCAGTGATATCTGTGGTGAAAAAAAATTATGACATTAAAGTTAGCCAGTCACTTGACAGTTTTTTAATTTTTTTTAATAAATAAATTATGGCAAAAAAAAAAAATTATTAAAAAAATGGACTTGTAGAAATTTTAATAAATTAAAAATGAAATTTTTTAAAAATAATTTTTTAAAACGAATTTTTTTTGTTAAAGAAAATCAAAAAATTGTCAAGTGACAGCCAAATTAAATGTCATAAAAACATTTCAGATAGTTGCTAGTATAATCCAGATTATATTGAGTGATATCCAGTGTCATCTTGCTTTTTTCGTGCGACCGAGTTTAAAATATTAAAAAAAAAACATCTTGATCCATACACTTCAAAATAATAATAATAATAGTAATAATATTTTGTCTTACTCTCAAAAAATGCACATACTACTAAATTACAGTGAAATATTTTTTGTTTGGGCACTTTGTGACATTTCACTTACCCTCAGATCATAAACATATTATGTAATTAATAATAATAATAATAATAATAATAATAAACTAATAATTTAGATATAGAAATATAATAAAAAAAAGCGAGTGTCTTCTCTTTCAAATGAGTCACATGAGTGTACGTTTTTTTTAGTTTAAATGTCTAACATTGAATTAATATCGTACATCTTAACACATACCTTACAATTAGACATTACAATTAATTTCCATTTTTATATACATTAGGCAGATATATATATACATATATTTATATATATATATAATATAATTATATATATATATATAATATATATATTATATACATAGTTTCTAAATAATCAATATATTCTTCATTTAAATTTATTTACCTAGTCTACAATAATATAAACCTAGTAAAGAGCCATATTAATATTACTGTATTTTATACAATTAAAATTAATTATCACCTAACTTGGCATCCTTGGGGTAGAGGTGCAGGCGGACAACCGGGTGAATGACTGGCCGCGTTGGCCGTACTGAGAATATTAAGATCCTCTGTGGAAGGCTTATCATCTTTATCCTGTTTTTCAACTTCAACTCTTTCATTGTCTCTCCCCGCAATATCTCCTTCTCCAGTCAACTTATCAACAGAATTTTCCTTTCCAGCTTTACTATCAACACTCCCAGCAGGTGCTTTTAGCTCATAACCTTCATGACAACGCGTAAGTTTTAACCTAATCGGCGTAACCTTAACAGACTTAACATCAAGAGAATTAGTAGCAGCTGCAGGATCACCAGAAGCTTTTTCAGCGCTAGAATTATTATCCTGATACCCTGAATCATCTTTAGCCTTCCCACTGTCTAAATTATCCTCCGACTGAGTAACGCGTTCATTATTACTCCCACAAGCTTCAGGAGCCTCATTAGGAGGAGTCTTCTTAAACTTGATAATAAGCTTAGGAGTAGTAGAAGAATTTCCCTCATCAAGAATCTGAACCCTGCTCTCTTTCCCCCGCTGTTTCTTCCTCTTCTTCCCATTCTTATCCTTTTTACTCTTCTCCTGGGGCGCTTCATCATCCGCAAAGTCAGCCATGATCATCTTCCTGAACTTCATGCTCTCTCTTTTAAGCTCCTCAATGCTAGGTTTGTTCTGCATATTACTCAGCCTTTTCTTCGGAGGTCTAATCCTAGCCTCAGTACCACCAACATCCTGAGCAACGACTCCAGTGCTGATTTTGATCTTCAACTTAGGAGGGCCACTATTGGAAGCCGCAGGAGGTGGCTTAGGTTGCCGACCACGTCTCCTATCAGCACTAGTCCCCGCAAGCCTTCTTCTATCCGTATTGTCTTCCTCAATCTCATTAATCCCTCCACTTCTTTCCTTCCTCCTCTTCTTCTCCATATTAACCATATCAACAACAGCCTTGTAGTCTTCTCTAGTAGGAATGCTGGTCATAGAAGCCACAGCCTTGGGAATAGTAATTACAGTCCTATTTATCGGCTGAATAATCGGGACAGAAGTTATTTTCTCCGTAGGATCCTCCATGTTCATATCTTGCGAGACATACTGCCTCAACAACTCCTTCTTCCTCATTCTCCTTAAATTAGACGTCCCAGAAGTCATTGAGACACTGACTGGAGGAATAGCCGGCGCTTGAGGCACCAATTGGTTAACAGAAGTCGAGGCTACGTAATTAGCAAATGGTCCCTTGATCTTGACCTTCAATTGGTTCCTAGAATCGCTCAATGACATCTTGGTGATATCACTGACTCCTGATGACGTTAAATCGACGTTATGATCATTAGGATCTACTGCGTTAGAATTAAAAACTGACTTGGAAGCAAGGTCAGAGTGCAAAGCACTCAATTCTTCCTCAATATCCGGCAGAGTATTATCCGCCGCAGCGCCGCTGAAGGAACAAATCAGATGATTGGCATAAGATTGACCATGCAAAGAAGAAGCTTGACCTTCTACGGTAGAATTGTAGGTCCTCATGTCCACCGGGCCTGGAATAACCGGAAAAACAGCGTCGTTGTTGTAAATTTCTTCTGACTCTTTGGAGAACACTGGAGGAGTCTGAGGTGGTGATGGAGAAGCAGTAACTCGCTTTGTTTTATGGACAGTTGGACTAGACAAACTCTGCAGCGCATTATCCTTAGCCAAAGCTAAAGCTAGAGAACTTTCCCGTTTCTCGGTAACATCAGTAGACTTCTTTCTCTCCCGCATGGTCTTAAGATCCGCGATGTTGGTCTCGTTAGCTGAATCTTCATCAGAGTCAAAGTCATACACAGTCCCCAGGAGTTTATTTTGTATCGAGTCGTCGCTGATAAAGGAGCTGCTTAGATTAACCAGCGGAGTTAAGCAGACATTTTGATTATTCTTCCCCCTGCCTCTGCCTCTGCCTCTTCCTCTGCCACGATTGTTCTGCTGGGTTCCTTTACCTCCTCTTCCTCTGGACCTGGAGGTTCCAGTAACTTTAGCGACCTCTTGCCTGGGAGATTTTCCGGGTGATTTTCCTTGAAGAGAAGTCACTCTTGCTGAAGTTCTCGTTGGTTTGGAAGGACTCTTCTTTCCGTGCTGCGACGACGGGGTTTTCTGACCCGGAGTTGCTCCAGGGTGCTGAACGTCTTCAGGAACAGTCTCTGCAGTTTCAGAGACAACTGGCTGAGCTTCAGGGACATTCCTGTCCATGAAGATCATCGGGGTGCAAACTGCGGGGGATTCTACCTGAGTTTGGGTTGTTGGTTCTTGTTGATGTTCATTCTGCTCCTGCTGCTGCTGCTGCTGCTGCTGCTCCTGTTCAACAGGAGGTAATAAATTCTGGACAGGAGGAGGAGGAGGTGTGGGTATTTTAGTGGGAGACACCATAGCAGCAGTGAGCGCCATATTATGAGACGAGGAAGTAAATGCAGCGGTACAAGGCGAGGCTTGAATGTTAAGAGAGTCTTCCAGAGGCTTTGGAACATGCGGCAGAATATTCTGCCCACTTGGAAAAGCAGCTCCAAAAGCCGTCGCAAACATCGCGGTGCCTGTTGCGGGATAAGACAACGACGTTGGACAATTTTGGGGTGGAAACAGCGACACAGGTGGCGCGTAGGTGTTTCCATCGGAGTACAGATGGTAAGGACCACTCTCCAAGCTTCCAGGAGGAAACGGCATCGAGGGCATGTTCTTGTACGGCGGCATGGCCACGTGCTCTTCCGTAGAAGACGCGGAGGTTATTGAGGAGGAGGTTGACCTTCTGGAAGGAAGAACCTGGCTCTCTTCCCACCTGGTGTCAGGTCTCACACTAGGAAGGTCGTTGTACGGCGAGCTGCACTGAGTGTAATCCTGTCTCATATCAGAGGACCCGTCGTCTTTTTCTAATCCCCGGTCTATGTCGTTGTTCTGGGGATCTTCTTCTACATTGGGCATTAAATGCCTGCTGACCATCTCCATTGGTATGTTCTCACCAATAGGTCCTGGTAAGAATCCCTGGTTCATCATCGGGAGTTGCGATTGCAACCTGGAGTCAATTTGCTCCAAGTGGCTCCGAGAGAACTGATGTTGATGCTGTTGGTGCTGTTGCTGCTGGAGAATCTGCGGGTATTGATCTATAGTGTTAATTTGAGAGTGAACTAGCTCAGAAGTGTCATGCATCACCGAGCCAATGTCATTCACATTCGTGAAAGGATGGCTTGCAAATCTATGATTCTGACTGGCTATTAAGTGGTTCAAATGTGGAACTTCGTTCAAATCAAAACTATCCAAATTACTTGGTGGAACGCAACGTCCGTCGCTTTCAGCGCGGTTTAATTTTGAACAGTCGTCAATGCTAACTTTAGAGCCTAGATTTTCATCACCATAAGGTGGGCCAAAGTTGTCATTATTGCTGGTGTAACTCTGCTTTCTTTTATCATCAATAGAGTCATTTTTGCACAACACCTCCGTCGGCTCAAGAGCTTCTTGGTCCTTTAAATTCAACTCAATTGTTGGAACAACCGGCTGAGAATTAACTTCAATAATTTCCGGCTTCTTTGGATCCTCTTTTTTACTATTATCATTATTAGAATCATTCTCGGCGTCTTGCTGGCTGGAGTTAGATTTATTACTCATGCTCATCCTGAGCGACCTTACAAGGTCAAGAGTTTCTTCCCGAGCGCTGTCCTCCTTCAGCCACATATTACAAACGTCGGTGTTGGTAAATGAAAAGGCCACGTGTTGCTGACGCTCTTCAGGATCCGTAGGAATTGTAAAGCCATCATCGTCGTTTATCTTCTCGTTCAAAAGAGCTTGCCCGAACTCAAAAAAGTCCGAGTCACTCGGGTCCTTAGACTGACCGTGAGGAGGAGAAAATATCGACCTGTTGATAGACTTTTTCCTTTTGGGAATCGCAGGCTCTTTATCTTCTCTAGGCTTGTCAGAGTGAGACACCGGATGTGATTTTTGAAAGATTTCTTCAACTGGTTTGTCTCCTAAATTACAAGGCTCCAGTCGCTCATTAGGATTTTCGTTCTTTTTACTAACCCTACAAACCTCAGTAACATCCAATTCAATATCTCCATCAATTCTCGGCGGATCTACTATTTTTTCACTAGGTATTACTTCAATAATCTCTTCACAAGCATGATTCTTCCTTCCCTTATCCCTTTCCGTTTCTCTCTCCTGAATAACAACCCTATCCTCCCTATCACTCACTTTATCCACTTCCTTATCCTGCACCTCAGGAATCTTCTTTTCAGATTTAGCTTTAAAAAGTTTATCAAGATGCTCTCTCTTTTCCAAAAATTTATCCAAATTCTTCGAAGACTTTTTCGGACTGTCCCTTTCAGCTCTTCGCTGTTTCATTTCTTCTTCCAAAAGTAACAAATGAACCGGACTCTTATTACCCTTTTTAATTTTCTGGTCCTCTTTAGGCGCCTCCGGCAACTTACTCTCACTTATTTGCCCCAAAACAGCAGACGTACTAATACTTTTTCCCTCAATTTTAGCTAAATCTTCCGAAGAATCCCGAGTATCATCAGTATTAGCAGATTCGCTATGAACATTTATACTTTTACTCAATTTATCATTACTCAGCCTCTTATCATTCTTCCTGATCGAAGCCGCATTTTTACCAGCTTTGTCTTCTTTAGTAGCTTCGCTAGATTTTCGTTTGCGTGCTTCAGGCTTAACCTTCGTGGGGGTCGTAATTTCTTCCTCCTTTTTACTACACTTGCCACTGGCTTGCTGCTGCTGCTGCTGCTGCTGCTGTTGCTGTTGCTGTTGTTGTTGTTGTTGTTGCTGCTGCTGCTGCTGCTGCTGCTGCTGCGAGTGTGATTCTCGTTGCTGAGACTGATTTTGCGTTTGCGACTTACCAACGGGCTGGCTACTGGTGGTCTTTTTACCCTTGGCCCGAGCAGGACCTCGCGGCCCATCATTATCTCTGGACCCACTGAGCAAATCTTGGGTATTTCCTGAAGAGACTGCAACTGAGGTTGCTTGCTGGTGGACCCTGTGTTGTTGCTGTTGCTGCTGCTGCTGCTGCTGCTGTTGTTGTTGTTGTTGTTGTTGTTGTTGTTGCTGAGATAACTTTTTACCTGAGACAGTACCAGCCGACACTCTTTGATCTGGTTTTTTATGTTTGGTAAATGACTGCCTTGATTGGTTTGGATCTTTAGACACTGAGGTTGTTCTAATTGATGATTCTTTTCTCTCAGCAGGCGGCGGTGGAAACTCGGATCCATGCCGCCCGTCGGAAGTTTTAAGCTTCTTGTCAGGCAGCTTCTTGAGTTTCCGCCCAGCCGTTGTCTTTTTATCCTGACTATCAGCGGCGTCATCACTGGTCGTAGTTGCCGTAGTTGTTCTACTGCTACCACTACTACCACTACTATTATTATTACCAGTTTGTCTCTTACTACTCGATAATACTTTAGAAGAACGATTACTAGTGTCGCTCTCGGAGGAAGTTGACGACGAAGACTGTTCTTTTTTGTTCGGTGACCTCACCGAGCTCTTGACCATCTCTTGGTCATCCGAGTCGCTGCTAGAGTCCGAAGAACTGCTGCAACTATTGCTGCTACTCGAGTCACTGTTAGTACTCGAAGAAGTTTTGCTTTCTGGCTGAGATTTCTTCGGTTCTTCCTTCTTAACAATCTCCTTCTTTGATTTCCCCTCTGGAGACTCCTTAATTTTATTCTTACCTACTGAGACATCAGCAGAATTGTCCACAGGAGGAGCAGGTTTGGTTCCCGATCCGCTTTTAATATGCTCAGCCGCCTTTTTAGCCGCTTGTCTTTGAGGAACATACGCCAAAATCTCACTGGGATCTCCAAACTCTTTCTCTTTATCAAAATCATAAATATCATTGTTCTTAGAATCTTTATGATGTAATTTACCATCCCTGGGTTTTTTAACAACACTCTTCTCTTTAACCTTGAAATTTTTCTCCTCAACCGGAGATTTAATCTGCGATTCCAGTGGCTCAGAAGGAGTTTCCTTTTTATTCTGCGAGCGCTGCATTATTTCAGAAGCTTTTTTAGCTGCCTGTCGTTGAGGAACAATCAACGCAGAAGGAATATACTCTTTCTCCTTTTTTTTACCTTTAACATTCTCTTTATTGCTAGTTTCTGCGGATTCATCCTTAGAATCTCTATTAAAGCCCTTAGCTGTGGTATTTTTAGAAATATCCGCAGCAGAAAATTGTTTAACAGCAGCTTTACTGATAAAAGGCGCAGTGACAGACCTACTGCGATCCTGAGAATCAGAATCAGTGTCAGAATAAATATTAGCAGCTACAGAAGGTCCGCCGGTATTTTTATTCAATGAATACAATTCATCGCTATCACTACCACTTCCAGTAAGTTCTTTTTCCATATGTTCCAACGTTCGAGATCTTGCATTAGAATTATTACCCTGTTTATTATCACTTTCACTGCTATTGAGTGCTGCTGGCCTGGGCCGACTAGCAATACTAGTTGTCTTTTTCGTTCTACGTCTAGTTACTTTAATCGATTTTTTATTATTAGAATTAACAGGCTCATCTTCCGAACTCGACTCTGTTTCTATTTTATTTCTCGAGGAATTTTTAGTAGAAGAGGAGGAAGAAGAAACTTTAGTTGTAGCGGACGTTAATGATTTAACAGTAGGTTTAGCAGTATCAAGCTCACTACCACTCATAGAGGATAATTCACTATTGCAAATATCTTTTCGTCTTACATTACCATTAAAGTAAAATTTCTTATTAGACGCACCATTAAAATCAGTCATAGGTTTCTTTTCGTCACTTGACACTGGAGTTGGTGATTTAATACCCCTAATACGTGCAAATATCGTATCAAAATCACGTGTATGATCTTCAACGTCCGAGTGAGAATAAAGACGATCGTAAATAGACGGACCGTGGTTGGCTTCAATAACAGCAGCTACAACAGCGGGTGGTAATGATGGATTATTAGTTAAAACAGCGGCTTGTTTATGAAATGTTTGTTCGCGTAATTTTAAAAATGACCTACCCAATTTTTCACGTCTATTAACCATATAACAAAGATTACGAACACGCTCTAAATCTTGCCTTAATTGTACAAACGTCCGCATTTTTTCAAGATCAGCAGCCTGACCTTGAGCCCGAGCACCGGCACTCGATAGCTCACCACAACGCGGCGCTAATAATGGTTTATTATGACCAGCACGTCTTTTTAATTTCCAATAATTATAAATATAAGTTATTGCATCGGTATCAACGTCTAATTGCTGGCAAGTAATGTCTTTTAATACAACGTGTTTATCAAATTCAGCCTCTATTTCCTGCAATTTAGCAGCACGTGCCTGATTTTTTTCCTCAGATGTCATGTCTTTACGCTTACGTTTGTTCCGGGTATCACCGGGCTCGTCAGAATCCGAGCCAGCTTTATCACCAGTATTACTCCCGCCAACACCAACTTTGTCTTTATTATTTATCCTCCCGTGCTTGAGACAGTAAGACCTTAATTTAACCCCGTCGTCTGCTTGCTCGTCCTCGATAATTGCCTTCATCTCGAGCCCGGATTTAAACGCACACGTTACGTGGTACGCTGTTTTGCAGGTCTTTATGCTGCATTGAATGCAAGCACCTACGCGCTCACGACACAGCACGCAAATAAGTGCCCATCTGCTTTGTGGAATACTGGATATTTTAGTGATTGGCTCCATACGCTCGACACAACCGATGCTTACCTCGGGGATCCACAGCGCACATGATACGTGCGCCCATTTTTGACCGCTACGTGTACTTTTCATTGCACCACCTTTGTTCGGACACAACACGCAGTCTGGCCGTTGACCTATAGTGCAAGTTCGACACAGCCAAGAGCCGTCCGGTATCGAGGTGATACCGTAGCATGCTTGGTGAACGCATATATTACAACAATCACAGAATACCATCTCGTTATTCTCTTCAGAGTCCGGGGATCTGCACACATCACATATTACGTTCTCGTCAAACTCTATGCCCAGACCCTCCTCGTTTTTTACTATTGTCTGGATTCGTTCCCAACAGCGCACCTCCAGCTCTTCGATCACTCGCTCAAGATGCGGCTCTGTTATCGCCGGTTGGCCCGCCTGGTAAAATTTTTAATTATTTATTAATTAGTTGGTTTTTTTCTTTTGTTTTTTTTATAAGGGCTTACCTGAGCTCGTTCTCCGTTTAATACCTCCAGCCAAGCGATATCAGTGTCATCGAGATCGTAAGCACAAGCTTTTTCAGCCTTCGCTGGAGTTGTACTCAAGTGATGTTCCTCGGGATTGAAAGAATCATCACGGGATATTCTGATAAATTTTTTAGGTCTGAAATTTATGAAATAAAATTTGTTAATTTTTTTTTTTTTTAATATTAAAATCAGCTGTAAATTTTAAAAAATTTTTCAACAATAAAATAATGCTTATAAATATTTGGACTTTTTATTAAAAAAAATTTATTTTAATTAAAAAAATAAAATGTTCTCAAAAAATTAATTATCTTAAAATTTATAATTCAAAAATTATATTTATCAATTTATTAAAATTGATTTGTTTTTTTTTTTTTTATTTAAAATAAAATTACAAGTGTCACTAACTGGGTCTTTTACCTTATAAAAATGTAATTTTTATTTATTTTCACATGTGAAATTTTTTAATTAAATTATTTTTATAATAATTCAAGTGCTATAAAATTCTAAAAAAATTTTTATGTCTGATAACTTTTTCAAAAAATGAAAATAACAATAGTAAAATCTTGTAAATAATTATTATCATTATTTCTGTAGCAGTTTTGAATGTACAAAAAAAAAATATTAAAGAATATTTAAATAACTTACAATTTAAATTCCCCATGAGGTTTATTACTACTCGATTGCTGGGTGACAGTAACGGTAGGCTCTGGAAGTGAATCGGGATTAACAGGGACCTGTACACCACGTTCCCACTCCTGTTTCCACTGATCAGTAATAACCCAATACTCATTAAGACTAAGAGGTTCACTGTCAGGTAATTTCATCGCACTTATCAAGTCTTTACGAAATAACTCAGCGGGAATTTCGTTGGTAGCACGATTGTATATACTTTTGATATCAGCAAGCGGCCGAGAAGTCCAAGAGGCTCCCGAAGACCCGGCACCTGCACCACTGACCCCAGCAGCACTACTACCGGCACTTGCACTTGCACCGAAACTTCCAGCCCCAGTTGTACCAGTACCAGTAGCACTGGCTCCAACATTTGACGGTACAATCGCCATCGTTTCTTCCTCTTCGGAGGGCCCAATAGTTGATACCACAGACGATGTACCCGCGGCTGTTGGGCCCAATTTGCATTTGCGTCTTTTAACCGCGGCCGGGCAGGAAGCCAAGTCATTATCGTTTTTGTTTATTCGCTTGCCTCGTTGTGCCATCACTACTACGCCAAGTTATCTATAGGTACGTAGGCACATGTAGGTAAGCTATATGTACCCTAAAACAAAATAACAATACAAACAATCACAACTATCAATAAAAATCCAATAAAATTAATTATTAATTAATAATTATACTCACTACATAGCTGTCCATATAAATTTATTCGTTTTTAATAATTCAGATATTCAAAACTGTAAAATAAAAATTTTTCATTACAATAAGTACAATAATTACAAAAAAAAAAAAAAAAAAAAAAAAAAAAAAAAAAAAAAACAGTATGTATAATATTGGCTGCCCAATTTAAAAACTTTTTTCTTATTAAAAAAAAATTTGCGCCCCTAATTGATAAAAAATTTTATTTTTTAATAGAAAATAAATATTTTTAAGAAAAAATACTTTAAATTAAGCTCTAAAAATTATAAAAAATGCAGAAATACTAAAAAAAAAAAAAAATATTGCATTTAAAATTGGGCAGCCGAATATTTAAAACTGTAAAATAAAAATTTTTAATTACAATAAGTACAATAAAAAAAATACAAAACACAGTATTCAATTTAAAAACACACTAATCGAAAATTAAAAAATTTTTTTTAATTTTTCTTAGTAAAGAAAAAAGTTTTCTTATTAAAAAAAAAAAACAGTAAAATAAAAATTTTAAAATAGAATAAAAAAATACAGTATGTATATATATTTTCAAGTGTAATGAGAATTAACTAAAACGTTAGAGGTCACTGATTATTTAAATGATATTATAATATACACTAACTTGTCCTGAATTTACGTAAATATTAATAACACTGAAGTTGACAGATATTAAAAATTTTTTTAGCAATTAAATTATTAAAAAAAAATTAATTAAAAAATTCCACATGTGAAAATTAATAAACTAATACAAGTAAAAAATTTTTAGAAGCATTTTATTGTAATTGATTTATTAAAAAAATTTTTAAAATTAACAGCTATCTTCAGTGTTATAAATATTATGATATAATTTAAGGCTTTTAATTAACCACCAGCTACTTGTTTTTCAAAATGTCAGTTTTGTTAATACCCATAAAATTAATTTTACACATTTAATAAATAATAATGAAAATTAAGTTAACCGATTCAAAATTTTTAGAAATTTTTTATTGAAAAAATTTCAATTAAACAATTAAAAAAAAAAATTGACACATGTCAAAAACTTTAAAAACTATAAGTGCAATTTTTTATAAATATCTTTTTAGTTGTAATTTAATTAATAAAAAAAAAATCAAAAATTTTTACACGTCTGCTAACTTCAGTGTCATAAATAATAATATCCTTAATCCTTAATAGGTAAAATCTAAATAAATAGTTAAATAAATAAATAATTACCATTGGCTCATTGGAGTACATTAGCAGCATGTGTATATATTATCCGTCAAAGTGACGGCTGACCACCGTGGATATAATAGTGGTTGTTGATGTTGACAATAATATTGATATAAGCAGTAGTAGTTGTTGTTGTTGATTACAGCTATCTTCAGTGTTATAAATATTATGATATAATTTAAGGCTTTTAATTAACCACCAGCTACTTGTTTTTCAAAATGTCAGTTTTGTTAATACCCATAAAATTAATTTTACACATTTAATAAATAATAATGAAAATTAAGTTAACCGATTCAAAATTTTTAGAAATTTTTTATTGAAAAAATTTCAATTAAACAATTAAAAAAAAAAATTGACACATGTCAAAAACTTTAAAAACTATAAGTGCAATTTTTTATAAATATCTTTTTAGTTGTAATTTAATTAATAAAAAAAAAATCAAAAATTTTTACACGTCTGCTAACTTCAGTGTCATAAATAATAATATCCTTAATCCTTAATAGGTAAAATCTAAATAAATAGTTAAATAAATAAATAATTACCATTGGCTCATTGGAGTACATTAGCAGCATGTGTATATATTATCCGTCAAAGTGACGGCTGACCACCGTGGATATAATAGTGGTTGTTGATGTTGACAATAATATTGATATAAGCAGTAGTAGTTGTTGTTGTTGATTAAAAATAAAAAATTTAGGTAAATGAATAAACTTGAAAGACCACTGTGGCACTGACTGTGGTACTTGATACTCAGCTGTGGAAAAAACACAAGAGAGGTTATAAAAAATAATGTTGTGTTTGATAAAATGAATATAAATAACAGTGCTGTGAGTATTAATTATTAATTAATATAAAAAAATAATTGTAATGACGCCGGGATAACCCGGGTATTTAATGTTTAGATGGAAGTTAAATCACACAAGAGGTTGTACCCCCACATCCACGGGTAAGTACGAGAGAGATCATGTAAACATTGTCTTGACGTTAATAAACCTGTGAATTAATGGGACAGTATTATCACACAGTATAATAAACTCACTAAGCGTTACGCTGTACATGGAGGCACCGGGTTACCAATAATCTCCATAATTCACAATAATTATTCACAAGAAAACGATAGTGTGTCGTATAGAACAGACAAAATGCCTCACGGCTCCATTACGCTGCTGCTGCTGCTGCTTTTCGCTCTTGCTCCTAACAACATTGACAATACAGATGGCAGCCCAGTCGCCGTCACCAGCAGTCAGTTATATTAGCAGTACGCGGCCGACATCGACATTGGACGACCAACCAACGAGATGTTCGCACTGTACATTGCTCGCTATACTTTTGTCTTTTTGTTTTTTTCTCTCTTGCTCCGCAGCGGAGCAACCGGGGACTGTCTTTCTTCTTCTTCTTCTTCTTCTTCTTGTTCTTCATCAGTCGTCAGTCGTCCACCCTCGCCCACCAGCAACCGACCCAACCTGCAACCAACGATCACACGGCTAGACAGCTCTGGCTCTACTCTGCTGAAGTTTTATACGGACTGTAGACTGTACAGTTCAGACCAGACGACAACAACGACACAACGAGCAACAACAACTATACTAAGGAACACCACCAGCACCATTAAATACCTTATTATTGATCTCTATTAGCTGAATATATTTTCGCGCGCACTCGTACACGTGATTACTACTTAAGTGATAGAATTATTTTTTTATTTATTATTTTTTTCATCCTTAAATTTTTGGTAATTTTTTTTTTGGGTTTTCTTTTTTAGATTCAGGAATCAGGGATTTAATTTTAGTAATTTGGATTCAATTGTGAAGATAATTTAAAAGTACTCCAAGGATAATGAAGGTTCAATTTGAAAAACGACATTTTTTATAATAGCCGATGATTTTTATTTTTTGTTTTTTTTTAATAATTAAATTAGAACAAAAAAATTTTTTTAGAAAATTGCACTTACAGTTTTTAAAGTTTTTTCCAAGTGAAATTTTTTTTTTGTAATCATTTCTTGAATAAAAAAAAATTCGAAAAATTTTTAGATGTCGGCTAACTTAATTTTCAATAATAATAAAGTTAGCTGATGATTTTAATTTTATGATTTATTTTTAATAATTAAATTAGAACAAAAAAAAGTTTTTAGAAAATTGCACTTATAACTTTTAAAGTTTTTTACAAGTGAAATTTTTTTTTTTATTTTTTTGTAATCATTTCTTCAATAAAAAAAATTTTAAATGTCGGCTAAATTTTCATCATTTTTTGGGTTTTATTTATAAAAATTAAGTTAGCTGAGATTTAAAAATTTTTTATTTTTATTGAAAAAGTTGTTACAAAAAAAAATTTTATTTGTAAAAAACTTCAGTGTCAAATTTTTAAAAAATTCCACTTGTGAAAATTAAAAAAAATTATAGTCATTACTCATTAAGTTATTTTTGATTTTTAAGGGATGATAAAAAAAAAAAAATAATATAGATAACAAAAGATCATTTGACATATACTTTTATTTTTCAATTCTATATCAATGTATAAAGCAATTATTTTTTTTTTTCATTACGTTCGAATCGATACGTTGGTCAATTACCCATTTAATTTATTCAATAATTATTTTTTATTTTGTTTTTTTTTATATAAAAAGAATATGCGAAAGATGATAATGAAATAAATATGCGTATAAATAATCACAAGTTACTATAATACAGATTAACTATTATATAAAAACAATCATACACTCACGTCTGCATTTTTTAAGAAAATGTTCACTTGCTTTACTCCATTTCATTAAAATTGAGCACAATGTAATAGTAATGATAATGAAAAATAAGAAAATTAATTAAAATAAAATAATTACAATTGAAACAAAATTAGTTTTATCACAGGATTAAAATTAATCGATAATGTAATATAAAGTCAATTAATAATTCAATTTATTTTCACTGTCTTGATTTTGACTATTTACTTTTTCCTTTTTTAATTTAATATGTATAATTAGTATGAAATACAGGCAGTGTCATGAGTTAGTATTTCATCGTCTCCAAAACATTCAGTCATATCTAATTTTTTTTTTTACTTAAAAATGAATGATTATACAAAAAAAAAAAGCATAATTAATAATAATATTATAAAGAAAATAAAAATAAGAGTATTAATAATAGTAAATAATGTACAAGTTTTTATAAATATTTAAAAAAGAAAAAAATCATACGCCGAGGAAGAGCATTTATCGACTGTTACTTTCTAAATAATGAATTTGATTTTATTAACTAATTATCCCGTTAAACTATTTATAATTTATGATAATAAATGTAGGCGCGTAATGGCTGATAATCCATTAATTTTACCATGATAATTAATTATTTTTTTTTTATACAAATACAAAATTGTTTATATTGTCTCTCAGTAGATAAACTTTGTAATTAATGTTTGCATTTAATTAATAATTTTAATTAGCTTAAATAATTATTTTCTGATGGTTCTAATCTACCGCGTTACGATATACTAAGCCTTTTTTTTTTTTTTTTTTTTTATTTTAAATATTTATAATGATAAATTACGATGAAAAAATGAGTACATTATAAATGGCATGACGTTTATAAATATCTATTGAAAAATTTTTTATTTAATTATTATTTGGGTATTTATCGGCAAAAATTTAAAAAATAATCTCAGCTTATTTTGATTGCAACTACACGCTGATTTAAAAACTAATCCAAATATTATTTATTATTTCCTTTGACTTAATTATTTTTTAATAAAAAAATTCATACTGAGCAGACACATAAATTCCATAATAGTGATCATCATTCTTCTTGCATTTTAATTATCCATTAATTAATCAGTATACTTATTGTAAGTGTAAAATTTGTTCACTCTATAATAGCAATAGCTATATTTATATTTATATCTTTATATATATATATATATATTTATATATTTATTTATATTTATATTTATATGTATATGTATATGAATGAATGACCTCATGACATAAGACGACATTGACCCTTTAAATAATATTAATTTACTTCTGGTATCATACGAAAGAGAATACTGTCCTTTCGGTCGTCTGCTAATGACTTAGATTATGTATTAATATTTGTAATAATAATAATAATAATAATAATAATTAATATTTATATATATTTATATTCATACGGTACGGCCTTCAATTAATGAGAAAATTACCTTCCAAATATTATTATTTTTTTTTTTCACCGTCAATTTTTTGATTTAATTAATTAGCAATCGAATGATAAACTGATGAACGTCAAGTGAATAGAACCTTTACCTCTGAATCATATTCGTCACATCTTTAATCGTGTTATGAACATCACTAAGTAGTCTTGTGTTCTCTGTGATATTACGAGTACCAGCGGCTCTCAATTGCCGTGCCTGTAATTCAAGCCGTGACAATAAATCACGAAATTGAAATCTCGCGTGAGATGGCGCACCAGCAACTTCCGTAGAATTAACTTCCTGAAGTAGCCCATGAAGAAGACCAACTTTATCGGACAATTGAAGCCAACTGGCCATAACAATAACCGGAGTACCTTTTAAATTAGTTATACTACCTTCAATAGCATTTGATAATTCTAAAACGTCATGTTTAGCTCCCTTAGACTCTTGTTGCTTACCAACACCTCCACTAACACTATCCTCCTCCTGCTTATCGCAATTAGGCGTAGCATAAATCGAAGATCCATAATACTTTCCTGAAGAACCAATAGATTTAGAACCCGGTTTAGCCGGGACTAAAGGCTTTTCAATATTATCCCCACTGCCAGAAGTAGTTGAATTACCCGGGTGGCTAATTCTACTATCACTTTTACTAGTAATAGAACTCCTAGTGGAAGCACCACTGTGATCCTCAGGACTTTCTTCACCCGGATCACCAACGTCTTGTTTATTGATACTCCGAGTGCTCAACTTAGGACTAAGCGGTTGATTTTCCCACGAGGATTCTTTATTTTCCCACAAACGCTTCAAGCTACTGATACTACCCGTGCTTTTGCGTTTATCATCATTATCATCATTCTCCGACATATCAGCACCCACGTCATCATTTTTTTTTATTTTATCATCCTTATCATGCTTATCAATATTATCCTTCTCAACCTTTCTCAGTCTCGCTTTAAAATCAATTATCTGCCCATCATTATTATCATCTTTTTGCAAATTTGATTTCTTATCAACCTTTTTTAATTTAAACCCAACACTCCCGGGATTCAAAGTGTCTGGCGATACTTTAGTATCTTTATTATGACTCACTGATTTTTCAACATTACTCAGCTGATTATTTGTCTGGTCATAAGGCGAGTCATTTAAACAATTTAACGAAGCGTACTCTCCTTGAATAGGCGATTTATTTACTGTATTTATTGTATTAGACTGATCGATATTAAAATTAGCACACAACTCTGAGAGTAATTGAGAGGCCGGATCTAAATGCTGTGATACAATATTACTAAATACATTAGACTTACGTGAGGTACCACTTTGCTTCAAATCTGCGTTTTGCTTTATTTCATTTATCAATTTAAGCTCAAGCATTTCTTTCATGCCCGGTTTTAAATTAAACCCGTCGTCGGAATCATTGTTAGAGGGTGGCGGTAAAGGTGGCGGAGGCGGTGGCGCTTCAGTCGGCGGTGAAAGTACCCCATCTTTTTTTTCCATAGATTCTTTCCCACGGAAAATATTTTTTTTGTCCTCTATTTTATTACTCTCACTTCCTCCAACACTAGTAGTCTCTCTACGCCTCAAATTAACGCCAAATCTAGAACTAGCTTCTTTAACAGAAGGCTCAGCAGTTCTTAGGTCATTATTTTTGTCATCTTCTTCAATAATTTCTTCCTTAGACTTGCGGTCTATTTTTGATTTTCTAACACAAACTGGAGAACCGGAAGGTTTGTAAGGAACATCACCAGGTGGATTGAACGTCGAAAAATCCGGGGGGTCAATATTAGGGTCACAAGGCGGGGGTGGAAGATCTAGAGGCGGAGGAGGAAATTCCAAGTCTGCTAAAGTCGGCTGTACCGATCTTGAGGGACTAGCTGTTCGGAATGTCGAGGTATTGGGATTGCGAAAAGTTCTAAGCCCAATATTATCATTATTATTTTTACGACTCGACATACGGCTGCGGGGTGAGTTGGGAGGCTGGTAAGTGTTGACAACACCGCTGGACGAATTACTGCGAGTCATTTGTGGCTGGTTTCTTAAATTATTTTGACGTGGTGAGAGCGACCGATGTTGAGATGTTTCGATTATATTTATTGCTTCGTGTGGTTGCTGGTGTTGAGGATGCTGTTGTTGTTGCTGATGTAGGTCAATAGACGATGGAGATTCGTGGGCAGATGGCATACCGCTTTGACGGAGAGACTCTAGATACGCGCCTATTCGAGCGCCTTTTGGTAGTGTTCCGTATCGATTTATAGCACGTTTAACATTTTGTACTTCCAGGGCACCCACGTGGACTAGCTGTAATAAATAGAGTTTGTTAGGGTTGATAATATAATGCTGATTTATATCGCTGTTATTTTTTTTTTTCAATAAAGCGTATTCTATTCAAGCAGTGCTAGATGCATTTACCGGACGGCTCGTTGCTTTTTATTTAAATTATTTATTTATATTTTGTAAAAAAAAAAAAAATAGCGGTAAAAATAATTTGGCTACCACCTTTGAAGCGTCAATAAATAATTTTGTTTAATTGTTTTAATTTTAGTTAGTTATACCTTCTGTGATAGTACTTCCTTAGACGAGTACTGTCTCGTTTTTATTTGTTTCTGATTGCATATGTTGAGTATTGGTTCGGGTGAAGCCGGTGGCTGGGGGAGAAAATTAGACTCCGTCCCTTGGGATCCGTCGCCGTCATCTTCCAAGTCACAGCCTCCTGGAGGTATTGATTGTGTTGCCATTGTCACGAGATCTCGCGTGATACCTGAGTTGTCATTTAATAAACAAAATAAAAATAATAAAAAATAAAATAAAATCGTGTGTATTTATTGTGAGTATCTTTAAAGTATTTTAATTAAAAATGAATGTGTTTTTTTTTATTTAAAATAAATGCTAAAGCGTATCGATGTAATGATGATGGTGGTAAGCGCTGGTTAAAAGCACGAGCGAATTTTTTTTTTTTTTTTTTTTTTTTTTTTAGGTTTATTTTATGATGCTTATCAGGTCATTCTCCATTAATCGAACGATCTTTCAACTATCCATAGGCTCACTATATATATTTTAATGATTTTATTAATTACCAAGCATGAGTCAATTATGAGTATCATGATAATAATTATTAAATGTTAGTAAACTCACGTAACACTGCTTGAACGTATGATGTAATCTTTTAGGTGATAAAAAAAAATTAATAATAGTATTATAATAATTTACATACGTAATTGGATTATATGAAATTATTTTTAATATAGATGTTTATTATATGAATTAAAACTCTACTACGAATCTACTGACTTCATGCATTTTCTATAAAATTATTATTTTTTTTTTAATTGTTATTATTGTTATTTACAGAAATAAAAAATATTTCTGATTAATTAAATTAATAAATAAAATATAGGGAGTCTACAATTTTTGAATAAAATTTAATTTTAATAATAATAAAATAAAATTCCGTAATGACTAGACTAAGTACTTATTATATAATAATCGAGTTAATAATAAAAGTCATAAATTAATAAAATTAGATTCCAGGAGAATGACCCACGTGCTGTTTTTTTTTTTTAAGATCGTTTCACGATGCAAATTAATTATTAATATTAATAAAGGGAAATAAAAAAATAATTATAATTTATTTATAATATGGGATGATAATTAAGCAGTACGTGCATTATTTATATGATTAAAAATATAAAAAAATAAGCGTTAAAATACCTTTAGAAATATTATCAATACCATTTAGATCGGTTCCATCATCAAGATTTGAAGCCCCGACAGAATCGATATTATGCTGATCTTGCTCCTGGTACGCAGAGTCACGAAACGAACTGCATGACGACAATAAGCTATTGAAGAATAAAAAAAAAAAAAAAAAAAAAAAACGTGTGGATTATTAAATTTATTATGCTAATTTTATATATACACCCAAATAAAAATATTAAGCCAAGTGTTTAAAGCCGTACCTGGTTCTTTTGGGCGGGGCAGGAGCTTGTTTTCCTCTTTTATTTGTAGAGCGACGCATCTGTACCATGTTACTGTTAGCTTTGTTGGTAAGACCACCCATGAAAGTACTAAGTTTAGTGACATTACTTCCAGCATCTATATTAAATTTTACTTTATTAGTATTGTATTAGTAACCTTGCAGTCACTGCCGTAACTTATGGATTATAAATTAATAAAATTTTACTTTATTAAATATTGAGGTTTTTAAAGATATAAGCTCATCCTGATGTTACACTCATAAAGAGCTTTCATTAGAGTACCCACATGCATTTTTGATATATTTTTCATATATACATATATATATATAAAATATATGAAAAATTCATGTGGGTACTCAAATCAAAGGTCTTAATGAGCATAACCTCAGGATGAGCTTATATCTTTAAAAATGTCAATATTTCTCAAGATACAAGGTAATTTGTTAATTATGTATCTAAAAATAGCAAATTTTTTTTACTCTTAATAACATAGATTACACTAATGTAATAATCAATATACTAATAACTACCTTGCGTTAAACCTGTGTTAGATAATTGGTCGGATACTAAAACAAGACCATGAATATTTCCTGTACTTCCTGTTTGGGATTTCTTGTGATTATAAGAAAACATCGGAGTATCACAACCACCTTGTAATTGTTTTTCTACCTCTAAAAAAAAAATATTATCGTTTATAGAGTATTTACAAATAAAATCAAAAATATTAATAATTAATAAAATAAAATAATATACCCTCTGTAATACTAGACTCTTGAAACATATTTTCCAACGAATGATGAATTTCTTTGAAGGTCGGTCGCTCAATAGCCGACCACTGCCAGCACTGTCTCATCAGCTCGTAGACTTTCGGCGGACATCCAGGAGGACACTCCATTCTGTAGCCCTTCTCCAGCATATGATAAACATCAGTCAGGTCAACACCAGGATACGGAGACATTCCGTAGGTCGCAATCTCCCAGAGCAAAATACCAAACGCCCATACGTCAGATTTTGTTGAAAATTTATTATAAGCAAGTCCTTCAGGTGCAGTCCATTTTATCGGAAATTTAGCGCCAGCGTGAGCAGTGTAGGTGTCATCGCGCATCAGTCTCGCGAGACCAAAATCAGCGACCTTGACAAGGTGATTCTCACCGACAAGACAATTACGCGCTGCTAAATCTCTGTGAATAAAATTACGACTCTCAAGATAGCTCATACCACTTGCTATCTGTGTTGCCATGTGCATCAACACCACTGCGTTTATTTGATGTTTACTTTCGTTACGTAAATAATCCAATAAATTTCCTTTGCTCATAAATTCAGTGATAATATAAAAAGGTGGCTCGCGCGTGCAGACACCCAACAATTGAACAAGATTCCGATGTTTCATTTCTTTCATTATCGCTGCTTCTTCTAGAAAATCTTTCAAGGCCATTGTATCCTCTTTAAGAGTCTTAACAGCTACAGTCATATTGTAACGCTTCCAGACGGCTTCGTACACGTCACCGTACTGTCCACCCCCAAGTTTATGTCTCATCACAATGTCAGTACGATTTATCTCCCACTCATCCGGCTCAGGACTAAGTGGAAATACTGTTGGTTTATTGTGTTTAGGCGCTGGGTACAAAAGTTGCGTTATCAATCCGTCAGCTAGCATTGAGTGATGATGAACCAATTCTGCCAGGGTGTTAAATTTACTCTCGGTTGTTACAAACATCTAAAAATAATTTTTATTAAAAATAATTCATTTAAGTTTGCGTTTAAAATAATGACACTGAAGTTGACAGGCATAACAAAATATTCTTAAAATTTTATGGTAATTGAATTATTATATAAAAAACTAGCAACCTTGCAGTCACTATGTGACTGCCGAGACTACGTAACTATAAATAAACAAAATTTTGCTTTATGGAATAATGACTTTTGTTAAATTGCACTGTACTTTTTTAACTATTGACATTTTTAAAGATATAAACTCATCTTGATGTTACACTCATCAAGAGCTTTCATTTGAGTACCCACATGCATTTTTGATATATTTTTCATATATACATATATATATAATATATATAAATATACCAAATATATGAAAAATTGATGTGGGTACTCAAATGAAAGGTCTTGATGAGTGTAACATCAGGATGAGCTTATATCATTAAAAATGTCAATAATTAAGAAATGACCTTGGATCTGTGCACGATTGACATTTTTAAAGATATAAGCTCATCCTGATGTTACACTCATTAAGAGCTTTCATTTAAATACCCACATCAATTTTTTATATATTTTTCATATATACATATATAAATATAAATATATGAAATATATGAAAAATCGATGTGGGTACTCAAATGAAAGGTCTTGATGAGTACAACATTGGGATGAGCTTATATCTTTACAAATGACAATAGTTCACAAGATACAAGGTCATTTTTTAATTGTGTATCTAGAGATAAAGCATTTTCGAATGCAGCCCAAATATTTTTTATTATTTGAATTTTATTATTATTTGAAATTTATTTTAATAATTTTTAGAAATTTTTCATTCTAATTGATTTGTTATAAGAAATTGAGAAATTGACAACTGCCAGCTTCAGTATCATTGAAAAAAATGAAAAAAAAAATTTAAAAAAACCTTTCCATCACTGTCTTCATTGATTCTATAATGATAAACACGTCCCTCGTATCTTAATGAAATACTTCGTTGTCCAGGACTGCTCTCAGACTCGCGAACAAGAAAACTCCCATTGATCCCCGAGCTCAGCAGATATTCAGCAGCGTTTCGCGCTATTCTCCCATGGTACCAGGAATGTTTTTCTAAAGAATTTACTGGTGTTACATAATTCGAGGGTACCCATCCTACTTGACCGGTACTTGAGTGTGCTTCACACCATTCACCGCTCTTATTATAACTTAATATTCGTACTTGTTCACCTATCAACAATAATAAATTGCTTAGTAATTTAATCTATAACAATTGATACTTTTTATCCAAGCAAATTGACATTCAAAAAGTCATTCTCTATTTAATTATTACTATCACAATTACTATTAATTAATAAATAAAATAAATAAATTCATTAAATCAGGATAATAAAATAAATAAAATCAAAGCGATACCTTTTTTTAAACTAAGCTGATTTTCACCACCGGCTTGAAAATCATAAAGAGCAACAAACAACTGAGGATCATCCTCCTCCTGTGCTAAAAGGTTTTCCTTACTGGTCCATCTATTAGCAGCCTCGAGTAAACTTCCACCCGTGACATTGGAGTGTGCAGAAAAATTCGACTGCTGTGACAGTGATTGAACACTCGAACCCGTGGGTGGATCACCTTCAGGCAATGCTGGGATATGTGGCAATGGTCTACTTTGTAAAAGAGCTTCTGAAAAAAAAAAAATAAAAAAAATAGCATTCAGCATTTAAAGCAGCGTGTACTTAGGTACTTATTATTTATACTAACTATCATGACACTGAAATTAGTAGGCACTTTTTATTTTTCTTGAAAAATAAACAAGGTGTAAATAATTACTTAAAAAAATTTCATTTATAATTTTTAAAGCTCTGAAATATGATAAAAATTAATAATAATAAAGTTAGCCAACATTTTTAATTTTTTTATTTTGCATAATTTATTAAATTATAACTAAAAAATATTTTTAAAAAATTGCACTTATAGTTTTTGAAGTTTTTAACAAATGAAATTTTTTTTTTTTCAATTTTTTTGTAATAATTCTTTGATAAAAAAAATCATAAAAATTTTTAGATGTCGGCTAGCTTTATTTTCATTGAATATTAACTTAGTCGATATCTAAATATTTTTAAATTTTTTTTTTATTGAAAAAATTATTACAAAAAAATAAAAAAAAAAATTTCATTTGTAAAAAGCTTGAAAAACTGTAAGTGCAATTTTTAAAAAATATTTTTTTAAATTTTTTTTTTATTGAAAAAATTTATTACAAAAAATAAAAAAAAAAATTTCATTTGTAAAAAGCTTGAAAAACTGTAAGTGCAATTTTTAAAAAATATTTTTTTGTTCTAAATTTTTCAATAAAAAAAAATTAAAAACGTCGTCTAACTTTAGTATCATTGAAATATGATTTTTTTAAAATAATTTTTTTTGTGATAAATTAATTTGTTAATAAATTTTTAAAAATTATTATGTGCCTTTCAATTTCAGTGTCATATTATCATGACACTGAAATTAGCAGACACTTGACGATTTTTTTTAAATAAACAAGGTGTAAATAGTTATTTTAAAAAATTTCTTTTATAACTTTTAAAAGCTCTGAAATATGATATTTTTTAAATAATTTTTTTTTTTGATAAATTAATTTGTTAATAAATTTTTAAAAATTATTAGATGTCTTTAAAAAATTATATAAAAAAAATTTCATTTATAATTTTTAAAATCTCTGAAATTTATTTTTTAAATAATTTTTTTTTGATAAATTAATTTGTCAAAAAATTATACCTTTAAATTTCAGTGTCATACTATCAATTCAATAATAATACTCTACACACTTGATAACAATAACAAATTAATTAGCATAATTAAACATCCGTAAATAGATAAATAAAGCCGACTATTGAATAAAATACTCCAGACAATAACACTATTGACAATTACTTAACAAAACAATTGAAAAATAACAAGACAAGCATATGGAAAAATCGATAACACAAGTGGTGAGTAAAAAAAAAAAAAACATTACGGATAACATAATACAACAATTACATATCAATAGAGCCTACAAATATGAAATATAATTACCGCTGTGCTCTGTAAATATATTAGAACCAATAAGCCGTGATTCTTTGGGATTTCTTGGTTGTTTTCTGGTTTGTCTTACAGTCGAGCCGGTGGGTATGACTCTGTCCTTGGTTTGTTGAGCACCCATAGTTTGACAATTAGCATGCCCCAGCACTTATAATTCCCCCTAGATACTTATTACAATGTATCTACATACACTATTTAAATAAAATAACTCCGGTATGTAAAACTTCCGGCACCCAGATATTTAATCATGTTTCTCCAACGATTATTATCATTTAGATTCAGACTTTTTTTATAAAAAAAAAACCACACACTGTGTTATATCTTGACAAAGCACATTTATCACTATATGTTACGCAAAATCCCTATTTATCATGACACCAATTATAATTTACACTTACAAGTCATCATTACAGTACGATTTATTGTTAACGTAATAATATTTTATTTAAATAGTATTGCTACGTTAAAACATGTCAATTAAATCTCCACACCACGACTCCGGCCATATTTGACAGCTTTTGACGTCGATTATTTTGTATCGTGCATTACCCGCACCTAGAGAGGGGACTCGACTCACACTTTAACATTTTACACACACACACATACGTCTCACTGTGAACAACAATATATATCAGAGGGAGCTTGACAAAATTTAGTTATCTAAAAAAAATAAATCACGTCATTAGAAAATAAATCTCCACAATAAATCCAACAATTTTATAAATTATAAATTACCAGTCTTCTTTTCATCACTAATTTATTTTATCTGGAACAAAAAAAATTTTTTTTTAAAGAAACTCAACCAACCTCATTGGTCTATCGTTGTTGTTATATATTTATATAAATATATATGTAGTAATACAGTATCAAAATGAAGTTAGCTGACATTTTTAATTTTTTATATTGATAAAATTTTAATAAAACAATTAAAAAAAAAAATTCACTTGTAAAAAACTTTAAAAACTACAAGTGCAATTTTTTAGAAAAATTTTTTTTGATGTAATTTTAATTAAAAAAAAAAAAAAATCAAATTTTTAGACTGCTAACTTCAGAGTTGTTAATTCATGAAAATGAAGTTAGCTGACATTTTAAATTTTTTATTGAAAAAATTTCAATAAAAAAATTAAAAAAAAAAATTGCACATGTAAAAAACGTGAAAAACTACAAGTGCAATTTTTTAGAAATTTTTTTAGTTGTAATTTTAATTAAAAAAAAAAAATCAAATTTTTAGACGTCTGCTAACTTCAGTGTCATTAGTACAGTGTGTACAGGGATTTTATAGCTACTAGAAGTCTTTCTAGTTGGAATTATTATTAGTGAGCATCAAAATGGTCTGTGATATAAATCTACTGAATTTTATACTCGACTTTACCGTCTATATAATTATCACAACTTCAATCTTCACTTACAATTATTTCAGAACAAACTCCTTGCTGTGATTGGTTTAAATAAATTCACACCGACGGAGCTGTCCAATGAGAAGCTTAAAATTTCTGGCGGCATTTGACAGCTCCCAAATAATATTGATTAAATAAATTTAATTATTAATTAAAATTAAAATAACTTACAAATAATTAAAAAATAAAATAATAATAAATTAATTAATTACTTTAAAGTGACTTGGAGTATAAAGTTAAAAATATTATTTTAATTAAAATGACAAGTTTGAGGCGGCCATTTTGGTTGATCACGTGACCGCTGGTTGCCACCAGAGGGAGCAACTGTCTCGGTCTTGATGATGAGAGAGGTGATGAAGTGAGTGCGCCGGGTCAGATTAGCTCAAGAAGTCCTTAAAATTAACGCGTGTGTTAACATTACATTACAGTTGTAATTTATTAAAAACCTTTTGAAGAGTAATTAATAAAAAAATAAATTTATAAGTAGTATTAATAAAAGATGGATCCACGGAGGTTGACGGAATATTTACGTGCGACGATTGATCCAGCTCAGCAGAAAGATGCGGAGGATCAACTTAATCAGGTGAGCCGCCCCTGAAAAACGTGCTCGTGGGTTATACCTTGATGCACATCATATTTTAATCGACATGTGGCTTTTTATAAGCTATTGCTTATTATTATTAACAATTTAATCTTCATAGCTATTTTTTTTTCATTTATTTTAGACTTGTAGCTATTTTCACGAAAATTATGTCAAGATTTTTTTTATTATTCATTATCTCAAAGGACAATTATTTAATGATGATTATTTTAGCTTCGCATATGTATATAAAATTTCATTTTATTGCTAAATAATAAAAATCTACAGTTGCAATAGATTAATTTATCTTAACCTTAACTTTAGTATGATTATTATTTTTATTTCAATTTTACAGCTCATTTTTTATATTCTTGATATAGATATAGATATAGCTATATATATATATATATATATATTTTACAGCAATTTAAAACGACACGATCACGACAGTGAGAATAGTACAATAAACTTATGTAATTTACTTAGTATTATCATGTATATATTACTATATGTTCTAGTACTTGCTTGTACCATCCCTAGTATTTAGATATAATAAATTTTTATCTCCAAATGGACTTAAGACTTGCATGTAACGAATAAATGATTCATATCTGATTAAAAATATCTAATGAATATTTTTCTTGCAGATTCATAAAATCATTGGATTTGCCCCGACGCTTTTGCAAGTTATTATGTCAGGAGAAGTCGAAATGCCTGTTCGTCAGGCAGGTAAGTAAAATGTCTAAATTATTTTAGAAAGATCTTATAAATTTTTAATGTAATTATTTATTATTGTGTTTGTCTTTCAGGTGTTATTTATTTGAAAAATTTAATAGTCTCTAATTGGGCTGATCGCGAGCCAGAAAATGGTGTAGCACCATTTAATATTCATGAACAGGATCGGGCGATGATACGTGATTCAATAGTCGATGCAGTGGTTCACGCACCGGAACTCATAAGAATTCAACTGGCAATGTGTATTAGTAATATTGTCAAACATGACTTCCCGGCACGCTGGACGCAAATTGTTGATAAAATTACTATTTACTTACAAAATCCTGATCCTACTTACTGGCCTGGTGTTCTTTTAGCACTTTATCAACTGGTTAAAAATTTTGAGTAAGTTTAGAGCTTTAATTTAAAATTAATTAGGGGAGATCAATTTTTATAAGTTCAAAATTCAATTTTATAAAAAAAAATGTTTTTTATGATTTTTTTTTTTTAATTAATATTTTTGCTATGATTCCAAAATTAAAATTCATAATGAAAGGTTCAAATTTTTTGATAATTAATTCAGTAGATACTCAACAGTTTTTAGAAATTTTTTAACAAATAATCGAGGCAAAAAAAAAAAATGTAGAAAAAAAATTAAAAATGCAATTTTTTAGAAATAATTTTTCAAAACAAATTTGTTTGTTAAAAAGAAATTAAAAAATTATCTCGTGACTGCTAATTTTAATGTCATTCAAATTTTGTGATAATTATGGATCTAACTTTAGATATTACAGTTAAATTATTGATCCTAATAAAAAAACAAACATTTTTTTTTTATGAAATTAAATTTTGAACTTTTGTTTGAAAAAAAACTTTACAGCATCAATATTTTTCTCGTACTATTAAAAATTTAAACCATTTATTGTGAAATGAGATTGAAGTTAGAGCAGTCAGTCGAGAATTTTTTATATTTTTCTACCAAAAAAATGACTTCTAAAAAATTGCATTTTTTATTTTTTAAAATTTCTACATGTCAATTTTTTTTGCCATAATTTATTAAAAAAAAAAAAATTATTTAATATCTGGTAAATTTATTTTAATTATTTTAAACTATTATTTTGATTTTGCAAAAATCTTGGCACTAATTATTAACAAAATATTTATTTTTATTTATTAAGGTACAAGAAACCCGAAGAGCGAGGACCATTAAACGAAGCAATGACTTTATTATTCCCAATGATATATGAGCTGATAATCCGCCTTTTACCAGACCCATCAGAGCAATCAGTTCTTCTCCAAAAACAAATCCTAAAAATATTCTTCGCATTGACTCAGTATTCTCTGCCCTTGGATTTAATCTCCAAGGAGTCATTTTCCCAGTGGATGGACGTGATCCGACAAATAGCAGACCGCCCAGTGCCGCCAGAAACAAACAACCCCGACATAGACGACGACGAGCGCGCCGACTTACCCTGGTGGAAGTGTAAAAAATGGGCCTTACACATTCTCCACCGTGTATTCGAAAGATACGGAAGTCCCGGTAACATCACCAAAGAATACAAAGAATTTTCCGAGTGGTACTTACGAACCTTCAGCGCGGGTATTCTCGAAGTATTACTGAAAATACTGGACCAGTATCGCCGTAGTATATACGTATCCCCGCGCGTAATACAGCAGTCGATAAATTACATAAACCAAGGAGTGAGTCACGCTTATTCGTGGAAATTCCTCAAGCCACACATGTTTGAAATAATCCGCGACGTTCTATTTCCCATTTTGTCCTACTCAGCTTCCGACGAAGAACTATTCACCAACGACCCTTACGAGTACATTCGTCTTAAATTCGACATTTTTGAAGACTTTGTCTCCCCAGTAACAGCAGCGCAAACTCTCCTACACTCAGCTTGCAAAAAACGCAAAGAAATGCTCCAAAAGACAGTTCAATTTTGCATTGAAGTCCTGACAAATCCAACAGCAGACCCCCGTCAAAAAGACGGAGCCCTTCATATGATCGGCAGCCTCGCTGATGTGTTGCTAAAAAAAAACCTTTACAAAGAACAAATGGACAAGATGCTCATGTCATATGTCCTTCCAGAATTCAGCAGTCCTCACGGTCACATGCGAGCACGTGCCTGCTGGGTGTTACATTACTTTTCTAAAATAAAATTCAAAGATGAGCACATTTTAATAAACGCAACAAAAATAATTGTCCATTTACTATTAAATGACGCTGATTTACCAGTCAAAGTAGAAGCTGCTATTTGTCTTCAGTCATTATTATCATCTCAAGAAAAATCACAGAAATGCGTGGAGCCAATGGTCAAAAATATAACCCTTGAATTATTGAACATCATAAGAGAAACTGAGAATGATGATCTGACGAGTGTTATGCAAAAAATTGTTTATACGTATACAAAACAATTGACGCCAATTGCTGTAGAAATTTGCCAACATTTGGCGACAACTTTCAGCCAAGTTTTGGAGACAGATGAGGGAAGCGACGAGAAAGCTATCATGGCTATGGGGTTGTTGAACACGATAGCTACTTTGTTGTCTGTTATGGAAGATCAGCCTGAAATAATGGCTCAGCTTCAACCAACAGTCTTGAGAGTTATTGCTCATATTTTTGGACAAAGTATTATTGAATTTTACGAAGAAGCACTTTCGCTAGTTTATGATCTGACTGGTAAATTTATTTCCGAGGATATGTGGAAGGTACTTGAATTAATGTACCAATTGTTCGAAAAAGACGGCTTTGATTATTTCACTGATATGATGCCGGCTTTGCATAATTATATTACTGTTGATACTGCGGCATTTTTGTCCAATGAAAATCATATACTAGCTATGTTTAATATGTGCAAAGCTATATTGACTGGTGATGCTGGAGAAGATCCGGAATGTCACGCTGCTAAATTGTTAGAAGTAATTATTTTGCAGTGCAAAGGAAGGATTGATCACTGTATTACACCTTTAGTCCAGTTGGTTTTAGAAAGATTGACTAGAGAAGTAAAAACATCTGAGTTGAGGACAATGTGCCTGCAGGTGGTTATTGCTGCGCTGTATTACAACCCCGCGTTGTGCCTACAAGCGATGGATGGGCTGCAGGGACAACTGGGACAGTCGACGGAGCCAATTGCTTCGCATTTTATAAAACAGTGGATTCATGATACTGATTGTTTTTTGGGGCTGCATGATCGCAAGCTTTGTGTCTTTGGACTTTGTACGTTGATCAGCATGGGACCCAATCGACCACAGGCGGTAAATGAGTGCGCTCAACAGATTATTCCTTCGTTGATACTTTTGTTTGATGGGCTTAAGCGCGCTTACGCTGCTAAGGTTGCTGAAGATGACGATGAGGATGGTGATACTGAGGATAGTGAAGGCGACGAGGAGGTTTTGTCCTCTGATGAGGATGAAATTGATGACGCTAGTCAGGAATATCTGGAAAAGTTACAGGACAAAGTTACACGGAGTGCTGGACAGCATGGGTTTAATATTAACGCGTCGATACAGGATGGTGATAGATCTGATGTTGATGATGACGACTCCGAGTTTGAAGCTAATGAAGAAACGGCGCTTGAGTGCTATATTACTCCGCTTGATTTTGATGAGAATAATCAGGATGAATATGTTGTTTTTAAGGAAGTTATGCAGAGTAAGTTTTTTTTTTATTTATTTTATTAATAATAACTAGCAATCTTGCGGTCACTATGTGGCTAGTAAAACTATAAAAAATTACAATTTTGCATTATTAAATAATGACTTTGGTTAAATTGCACTGTAATTTCTTAAATATTGACATTTTTAAAGATATAAGCTCATCCTGATGTTATATTCATCAAGAGCTTTCATTTGAGTACTCACATCAATTTTTCATATATTTTATATATTTATATATACGTATATATGAAAAATATATAAAAAACTCATATGGGTATAGTATTCAAATGAAAGGTCTTGATGAGTGTAACATCAAGATGAGTTTATATCTTTAAAAAAGTCAATAATTGAGAAATGACCTTTTATCTTGTGAAATATTGACATTATTAAAGATATAAGCTCATCCCGATGTTACACTCATCAAGAGCTTTCATTTGAGTACCCACATGTATTTTTATATATTTTTCATATATACATATATATACTATATATATCAAATATATGAAAAATTGATGTGGGTACTCAATTGAAAGATTTCGATGAGTGTATCATCGGGTTGAGCTTATATCTTTAAAAATGTCAATAGTTCATAAGATATAAAATCATTTCTTAATAATGGATCTAGAGCTACAGAATTTTCGAATGCAGCTTAAATACTTATCACAATAATTTGATTCTTTTCTATTCTCTTAATAATATAGATAATTATTATTAATTATAATAATTAAAATTTTTAAAAATTTATTACTAATGTTTTATAATTCATTTTACAGACATTGAAAGAACTGATCAAGCGTGGTACGTAGCTTTAACTGGTCATTTAACAGTAGAACAGCAAAAAGCCCTCCAGGAAGTAATATTGCTTGCTGATCAACGTAAAGCGGCCTTAGAAAGTAAACGAATTGAACAGAGCGGTGGTAATTATTTTTTTTTTTTATTTTTTATTTACAATAAGTACTTGTCTAAAAAATTAATTGATGTATTTTTTTGTTACAGGATACGCCTTTCACTCACAGACTGTACCCTCATCATTTAATTTTGGTGGGAAGCCCCCAGGTCGATAAAAAAAAATTGTCTATGTGTTTTAGATTTTTAGGTAAACAAGAAATATAAATAATGAAGAATAAAACTAAAATAATCAACTTAAATAATTGAAATAAAATTGTCAATAAATTCTTCACTTACGGCACTTGTATCATCGACCACTTTTAAAGGGTAAAAAAATTACCTAATTATGCATTTTCTATTTACTATTTTTATGTAAAATGATTAACTGTACATTACTATATAAAGGAAAAAAAAAATAACTTGATAATAAAAATATGATCACGATTGTTCCAATATCTGTGACGATAAAGAAAATTCAATTTATAAAATAACAATCAAAGTTTAAATTACTTTTGTACAATAAGAACAGTTATAGATTTATTCAAGAGTACACTTGTCCAATCTAAAACTTTTAAAGCATATATATTTATTTACATAAATATGTTTTTTGAATGATATTATAAATTATATATTTTTCATGCTTATACATATATAAATATTTTTTTTTCTCTTTCATCAGTATCTCTTTTTTTTTTAAATATTATTTTGTTATTATAATAATTGTGAAAGTAAAATAATTTTACTTGATAATTTATAATTAAAATTTTTTGGGAAAGTATAAGTAATTTAAACAAATATTTCACTTTATTAGATCATGCAATGTTTTAAGCAATTTTAAATTAAGTAAAAAAAAAAAATTGACTCTTTGATTAAAGCCCGCCGAGAAAAATTTAATTTGTAATATTTGTTAAAAAAAAAAATTCTATGTAATGTTGACATAAATACAACAAATTGAATTTTTTTTAAATACTCAAAATTACTTTATTTTTTATTATCTGTATACTTGTTAATTATTCGTCTTATTAAAAAAAAAAATTGATAATATTAATTGAGTATCTTGTTGTGTTAAGTGATGATTAATAAATTTAATAATAGTATGTAGCATTTATTATTCATATCGAGGAGTACAAAAAAAATAACCGGTATTTAAATTCACGTTACATTTTTACTTATTTTTTTTTTTTTAATTATTTTTAATAATAATACATAATAATGCAACCTATAAATATTTTTATGGCTAGTGTATTATTACGAACACGACGAAGCGACAATTAATGAATTCCGGAAAAAATTTTTAAGTTATGAAAAATTTATATTATTGAATGACCTTTTATCTTGTGAAATATTGACATTTTTAAAGATATAAGCTCATTCCGATGTTACACTCATCAAGACCTTTCATTTGAGTACCCATATCAATTTTTCATATATTTATATATATCATATATATGTATATATGAAAAATAAATCAAAAATGCATGTGGGTACTCAAATAAAAGCTCTTGATGAGTGTAACGTCGGCATGAGCTTATATCATTAAAAATGTCAATAACTATTAATTGACCTTTTATCATGTGAAATATTGACATTTTTAAAGATATAAGCTCATCCCGATGTTACACTCGTCAAGACCTTTCATTTGAGTACCTACATCAATTTTTCATATATTTATATATATATCATATATATGTATATATGAAAGATATATCAAAAATGCATGTGGGTACTCAAATGAAAGGTCTCGGTGAGTGTAACATCGGGATGAGCTTATATCTACAAAAATGTCAATAGTTCACAAGATACAAGATCATTTCATACTTTTGAAATTTTTTCCGAATAATTAAAAATTAGGTTGAAAAATTTTTATCGTCTCGCTTTGTTAGATACAAATGGAGATCTTTTATTAAAAAAAAAATAAAAAAAAATGACATCCAAGCGTTTATCAACTACGATCACAATATTATATTTAAAAAATAATTATCAGTTACATTACTCGATAAATAATTGGATCTAGTAATTAAATTACTACGGCTATCACACTTGGTATTAATTTAAATTTAAAATACAATTTAAATCACTTGGTTTATTTTTTTATTTATTAATAATTATCCTCAGTATCAATATTTATTTATATATAAATCTCCACGATATTTTCTGTTTTTAAATATTATTATTATTATTATTAATAGTAGCTATTATAATAAAAAATAAACAACAGAATCGGGTAATTTAAAACTCGTATGAATGTGCTTAAAATTAATTATTATTATTAATGTTAATTTAATTAAAATTGTCCCAGAAATTGAACGATGTCTTAGATGGTATTACGACGACATTGAAAAATTTGGCTAGCCACAACTCACTTATTTTAAATAATAAAATTATATATAATTAATTAAATATTGTATAGATATTTATAAGTAAAAATTACTTGTATTTTGACAGAAGCAGTCTAGAGTATTTAACTAAAATGTTATAAAGAATCGCAGATTTATTTTACAAACGTGATTAATTTTTTATTCAATTAATTATGATAATTGTTCTTATTTACGGACGCGCAAGTAACAAATAAATTAAAATTTATTTCATTTTAAAATAATTGTTTAATGTACGTCCGATTATTATTAATCCACAGTTTTATTTTCTAGTAGCAACTTTCAGTGAGATTGCGTGTAACATATATCTTCATAAACTTGGAATAAAAATGTATCACTTGAGACACCGCTCAAAATAAAATGATCCCACGTACCCACCTCTCATGGCTTTCGTTACATTTTGTTCAAAAGCCCGTCGGTTTGTTTGTAAAACTTCAGCCGCGTCTTTATTTAAAGGATCTTCTGGATTTGGTTCCTATTAATAATTTTAAAATCAATCAATTGTCAAAAATTAAAATAAAAATAAATTTTAATTTTCTAGAACTTTGATAGAAGCTTTCTTTAAAGAAATATCTTTAATAGATAAGAAACAAGCCGCTTTTAATTTAATGATAATTTATTGAGTCAAGTTTAAAATTTTATCAATAAAATGTTTAATAAATTATTTATGTAAAAATTAATTTAGCAGATATTTTATAATTTTAAGAATTTTTTTAATAAATTATAGCAAAAAAAAATTGATGTGTAAAAATTTAAAATGCAATTTTTTATAAAAAATTGCTTTAATTTATTAAAATTTCTGTCAATTTTTTTTTTGCAATATTTGTCATTAAAATTCTTATGAAAATTAAGTTAGCCGATGTTTAAAAATTTTTAGAATTTTTTTTTTATTGAAAAAATGCTTAAAAAGAAAATTTGCACTTGTTAAAAACTTCAAAAACTATAAGTGCAATTTTTTTAAAATATTTTATAGCTATAATTTAATAAAAAAAAAAAAAAAAAAAACAAAAATTAAAAACGTCGGCTAGCTTATTATAATAAAGTTAGCTGATATTTTTTATTTTTTTTATTTTGCTTAATTTATTAAATTATAACTAAAAAAATATTTTTAAAAAATTGCACTTATAGTTTTTGAAGTTTTTAACAAGTGCAAAAATTTTTTTTGTAATAATTCTTTAATATAAAAATTTTTAGATGTCACTTTATTTTTATGGCTATCTTTAGTGCTATAAATATCTGCTAAATTAATTTTTCTAAATCCTGTAAGATAATAAAATAATAAAAAATTTACCAAAAACAGATATTGTAAGCCATAAACAATCGAGTTGATAGTGAGCACAGGTTTCCAATCTTCTCTCAAAATATTTAAACAAACATTTCCTTCGAGATCAATGTTTGGATGATAAACTTGCGTTTCACACTTGACTTTAGGTGGCTCATGTGGATAATTGGGGCCAACTTTAAAACTGAATGTAAATTTACCGCCTCGATAGAACCCCTAAAAAAAATTTTAAAAAATGACAGTCGATTACAAAAAAATACAATTAATAATAACACCCTTACCTCATCGGGGCAAATAATTAATTTGAAAGTTAATAAATCATCAGGATCAGGAAATTCAGTGCCACATGTCTTTGGCAAATTTAACTCATTAATATCTAAAAAAAAAAATATGCTAACAAAATTAGAGATAAAATAAAATAATAGAAAATTATAAACAAACCTTTCGTGATCCTCAATTGCGCAGCCGATGCTTTCTTTTGGCTACCTGGTTTTGGTGATTCGCCATCTTTCTTAGCTTGTTTCAATGAAAATAATTTGATCATCTTAACCTTTACCCGCGTTTATTATCTATTTAACAATACTAAATTTAATTAAAAAAAATAAATTAACTAGGATTAATTAAATTTCACTAGTCATTAATTACAACAAAGTAAAAAATATTATTGTTTTTATCACAATAGAGATATAGCTAAATATCTCTTAAGTGCTAAATAAATATCTCTTGTGTGTAATGGTAATGTGCGTCAGTCACTCGTACGACCTTGCTACTCCAACGGAACACGCTGGCCCTCTGTACTCAATAACTGTTTTCTCGGAGTCACTTTTTTTATCCGTCAAATTAGCGCTTTATTATTTTCACGTGAATTTTAAAAACTTCAAATAAATTATACTGTCAAAAATTTTTTAATTATTTTACTTATTATTTTTTTTCTTTTCTAGAAAAATTATTAGCAATTAATTAAATAATGAAAAATACTCAACTGATAATTTACAAACGTTGGAGCGACGCGTAATTTTAACACAAAATGGAGAGTGGTTTAAATTGAACGGTTTTTTTTTTTAAATCGTTTCCGTAGTAACGAAAGTAATACAAACAACATTTATGTCAAAGTCAAAATGTTTTGTGCTTAATATTTTAATATTTTAGTGTTGTTGTTATTGTTATTATAAATATTAATTGAATGTTATTGGAGTTGGTGTAAAGCAAATAAAATTGTAAGTATTTGGAATAATATACTTTGATGCTTAAATTAGCAGACGTTTGATATTTTTTTTATTTTTATTGCAAATTAGTTATAAAAAAAGAGTATTTTTTAAAAATTTACATTTGTAATTTTTTTTTTTATTTTTAGATGTAGAATTTTTTTATTAAATTTTTTAGTTATTGTAAAAATTAAAAAAATTGACAGGTTTCTTAATTTCAGTGTTATTAATACACAAAACAAATAAGCCAAGTTCCAATCAAAATATTTTTTCCTGAATAAAAACTCATTAATTAGGTGAATAATATCTATAAATTTTATTTAAAAAACAAATTAGTTTAAAAAAAATCTATTTTTATAAAATTGCATTTTTTAATTTTTAAATTTCAATTTTTTGCTATAATTTATTATTGAAAAAAAATTCTATAAATCGCAAATATCTAAATTAATTTTCCATCATAAATAAATAACTCCAAATTTCTTGAATAAATTTTAGAATGAAACTTGACATACAAAAAGTGTCACTGAAGTTGACAGACATTAAAAATTTTTTTAGAATTTTATTACAATAAAATGATTATAAAAAATAATATTAAAAAATGTCACATGTGGAAATTAATGATATTAAATTTAGCTGTCACTTGACAATTTTTTAATTTTTTTAACACATAAATTGCTCCAAAAAATTTAAATTATTTAAAAAAAATTGCATTTTTAGTCTTTTAAAATTTCTAAATATCAATTTTTTTTTGTCACAATCTATTTGTTAGAAAAATATTTAAAATTATCAACTATATGCTTAACTAATTATCATGAAAATTAATAAAAATTACAAGTGAAAAATTTTTTATAATAATTAGGTCCAGTTTTTAAATCCAGGATAAAAGTAATATTATTATGGCCAGTATATTTATATATATAAAATATATAGATATATTTAATCATTGGATAAAATCCAATGATTATCCTGAATTGAAGAACTGGCCCTTAATTTGTTATAAACATTTTTAAAATTAACAACTGAAAGCTTACTTAAGTATCATATATAAAAACCAATAATAATAATAATAATAATAATAATAATAAATTAATATTTAATTTTAGAAAGAAACAAACCAAAAATGCGAGCCCATTTAAGATGGGTAGACAAAGTGCAGGACAAAAGCGAGCAATGTATCTACGACTTGTGTTTCAACCCGGACGGTTCCCAACTTCTTGTCGCAGCTGGCCAGCAAGTCCTAGTCTACGAAACCACCAAAGGCGCGTTGGTGCAGCCCCTAAAAGGCCACAAGGACACAGTCTACTGCGTGTGTTACTCCCGAGACGGCAAGAGATTCGCCTCAGGAGGCGCGGACAAGTGCGTGATAGTCTGGACCTCCAAACTTGAAGGAATTCTCAAGTACTCTCACAACGACGCAGTCCAATGTATGAAATTCAACCCAGTATCCCACCAACTATTCAGCTGCTCAATCTCGGACATAGCATTCTGGTCCAGCGAGCAGAAAGCTGTACAAAAACACAAATCAGGCGGCCGGGTGAACTGCTGCGACTGGACAATAGACGGCCAGTACCTAGCAATCGGCCTCTCAGCGGGCTACGTCTCCATCAGAAATAAAAACGGCGAGGAGCAGCTGCGCATAGACAGATCCAGTGGCTCTCCCATCTGGAGCGTGTCCTGGTGCCCTTTACGCGATGATACCAACGTGGACATCCTCTGCATCGCGGACTGGAACGGAGTGCTGTCCTTTTACACTCCCGTTGGGCAGCAAATCGGCCGGGAGCGCGCTCTGGACTTCATACCGCTAAAAGTCCTTCACTTTCCCGAAGGACACTACTTGCTAGTCGTCGGGAGCAACAAAAAGTGCTTGTTAATGAACCACGAAGGCATCCAATTAACAGAAGTCGGAGATTTGCAGTCATCTTGGATCTGGAGCTGCGCTATTCATCCTACCTCCGGTTACATAGCTCTAGGGTGCCAAGACGGGACGATAACTTACTTACAACTCACCTGGAACATCGTCCACGGTCTCTACGGCGACCGCTATGCTTACCGAGAGAACATGACTGACGTAATATTTATTTATTTATTTATTGTAATTTAAATGCCAAAGCATAAAGCCAAATAGCAAGAAGTAAAACACATAGAATTTTGATTCACATAAGTAATAAAATTTAGATTAGAAGTATTTGGTTAAATATAAAAATTTTTTAATAAAATCAAAACCGTTTACAGCAACTTCGCTTAATGCGACGTGCCGGTTATTACGACGAAATTTTTAAGTCCTGTCTCTATTACATATAAAATTCTCAAACCGAAAACCGCTTGTAATAACATTGCTTATATAGCGACAAATCGTTTATAGCAACCGAATTCACAGTACTTATAGTAGTAAATTCATAGCAAACTGCATTGGTTATAGCGTCTGATAAATACTTTCATTCGTTTTGCAGTAAATGTACTTATAATGTCATCAAATTCTTTTTGCAGCTTTTAATTAATCAGAATCACAATTTTCATTTTAGTTAATGGTCTTACAAGTTGTAGAAAACAATTTCGTTACAATCTTAAAATAATTCTCCGACAAAGTAATTGATTATTTTCAAAAATAATTATGTTATTAAATCTATATTATTAAATGTAGTATTGTAATTTATACGTAATTTTATTAAAATGTTTAATAAATTAATTTATTAATTAATCAAGCTAATCTAAACTTAAAAGAAAATCGAATTTCGATTTAAATGATTCTAAGCTGAGAAAATTTGTGATTTCAGGTAATAATCCAACATTTAATATCAAATCAAAAGGTCCGGATTAAATGCAAAGATTTGATCAACAAAATCGCAGTTTATCGCGACAAACTTGCAGTTCAATTACCTGAGCGTGTAATTATCTACGAGCCATCTGGCACAGCCGACGGGATGCATTACAGGATCCAAGAAAAATTATCCAAGACTATTAACTGCAATTTGCTAGTTGTTACATCCAACAACTTGGTCTTGTGCTTGGAAAAACGACTCCAGAGTTTATCATTCAGCCAAGTGGTAGAGCGCGAGTGGGTATTGGACAGTACAATAACTTACATAAAAGTAGTAGGTGGTCCAGCTGGAAAAGAATGCTTGATAGCTGGCTTAACAAGCGGGCAAGTTATTAAAATTTACCTGGACAATCCATTCCCTGCTCATTTGACCAAAATTGACGGCCCGGTTCGTTGTCTTGATATCAGTTCAATGAAAGAGAAGCTTGCTGTAGTTAGCGAGCACGGTGTGCTCTCTGTTTTTGACCTATATACTGAGCACAAAATTTATGAGTGCGAAGATGTTACCAGTGTGGCATTTAATAGAGCGTTTGAAGACATGATGTGCTTTTCCGGGCGGGATTATTTGACAATAAAGGTCGGAGATTTTCCGGAGTTCCGGCAGAAATTAATTGGCTATGTTGTGGGGCATAATGGCTCGAAGCTTTATTGTATTAATGGGACTAATATTGTTACGGTGGACATTCCTTTGTCGACTACGATGTACCAGTACTTGGACGCGGGGATGTTTGACGAAGCTTACGCTGTTGCTTGTCTGGGAGTCGCTGATAGTGATTGGCTGGCTTTGGGGACTTTGGCGCTGGATAAACTTCAGCTTAATATAGCGCACTCGGCTTTTGCGAGGCTGAAGAAGCTGAGGTACATTGAGGTGGTGATGGAGATTGAGGAGAAGCTTAAGAGTGGAGAGTGGGGCCAAGAAGCTTGCATGGCGACGGCTGCTGCTGCGATGGGAAGGTTGAGAGAAGCTGCCAAGCTTTATCAGAAAGCGGGACTGCAGCAAGCTGCGCTGGATATGTACTCGGATTTGAGGATGTTTGATATTGCTCAGGAGTTTATTGCTACGGGAAATAGTCATGACAAGACTGTCCTGTTGAGGAAGAGGGCTGAGTGGGCGAAGAGTCTGGGAGAGCCAAGGGCTGCTGCTGAGATGTTTCTTGCGGCGGGAGATGTTGAGAGGGCTATTAATATTGTTTCGGAACATGGGTGGATTGATATGCTGATTAAAATTGGGAGACAACTGGATAAAGCGCAGAGGGACAGTTTGTATACGATTGCGAAGAAGTTGAGGGAAATGGGGGCGACTCATGGAGCTGCGGAGGTGTTTAGTAGGTTGGGGGATGATCCGGATGTTGCTGATGTCTTGGTAGACGCTCAAGCTTGGCCGGAGGCTTTTGAACTGGTTGAGAGAAATCCAAAATTGAAGTCTAGGGTCTATGGACCTTATGCTCGCTGGTTGGCTGAGACTGGAAGATTTTCTGAGGCTCAGGAAGGTAATTTGATTTTTTTTTTTTGTTTTTGAGAGTGAGATTTAGAGGCTTGATAGAAATTTTATATCAGCGTTCCAGATGGCTGGACAGACGGAAGAATCTATAGCGGTGTTGAGTACTCTGGCGAATAATGCAGTGCTGATGAATAAATTTAGGGATGCTTCTTATTTTTACTGGCTTTTGTCTCAGCTTAGTTTGAATCTGCCGAAAAATATTGAGGATATTAAATCTATGTATCAGGAGTACTCTGATAAGGCGGATATTTATTACGTTTATTATGATGTTTATAAGTATATGGTGAGTATTTTTTTTTTTTTGGGAATGAAAAGTGTGAACTATTGACATTTTTAATGATATAAGCTCATCCTGATGTTACACTCGTCGAGACCTTCCATTTGAGTACCCACATCAATTTTCATATATTTTATATATTTATATATATATGTATATATGAAAAATATATGAAAATGCATGTGGGTACTCAAATGAAAGCTCTTGATGAATGTAACATCCGGATGAGCTTATATCTTTAAAAATGTCAATATTTAAGAAATGACCTTGTATTTTGTGCACGATTGACATTTTTAAAAATATAAGCTCATTTTGATGTTACACTCATCAAGACCTTTCATTTGAGTACCCACATCAATTTTTCATATATTTTATATATTTATGTATATTATATATATGTATATATGAAAAATATATAAAAAATGCATGTGGGTACTCAAATGAAAGCTCTTGGTGAGTGTAACATCGGGATGAGCTTATATCTTAAAAAATGTCAATATTTAAGAAAGTACAGTGCAATTTAACAACAGTCATTATTTAATAAAACAAAATTTTATATTCCATTTTCAGGCTGAACCATTTACTTCATTAATGCCAGAAGCTTTGTTTAACATATCAAGATTTCTATTAATAAAGCTCCAAGGTGTTCGCATGCCCAAAATATCCATGATAACAATCATCTACTGTCTTGTGAAACAAGCACGAATCCTGGGTGCAAATAAGCTGGCAATGCAATTGCTTGAACGGTTACGAGGAATGAGAGTTCCCGATCACCTTCAAGCTCAAATAGAAGTGGCGACTCTGGCTGCGCGAGCTAACCAGTACCAAGATCCTGAAGAATTACTGCCTCTGTGCTACCGCTGCTCAACATTTAATCCTCTCCTGCCGGCTAATAACTATCCCAGCAATAGGTGCGTGCAGTGTAATCTAAAGTTTCATCACTCGTATGTGTCCTTTGAAATTCTGCCTATTGTCGAGTTTGAACTGGAAGACGGAATCTCGAATGAGGAAGCTAAGAAACTTATCGAGGAGCCCATGTCGATTCCAGAAGACGCTGAGATAACTCAAGACCAAATGACCATAGCTACTGATCATACTGATTTATTTACTGCGAGGCTTATTAAATATGAGGTTTGTTTATTTATCAAATGATCTAATAGCTAATAGTTTTTTTTTTTATTAATTTGATTATTAAATAAATATAAAAAAAATTCTTTTAATTTTTTTAAAAAAAAAAAACATTTTTTAATAAAAAAATTAATTTTATTAATAAAGGACAAAGTTGAGGGATCAACAATTAAAGTAGGACGAAATGTTTTAATGAGTTTGGAACCTTATGAAGTATTAATAGTTCCTTGGCCAGAACCATTTAAAACTAGATACTACAGAAGAATATTAACTGATCTTCCAATTACGTATTGTAGCTCATGTTTAAGAGTAAGTTAATTATCTAATTTTATATTAATTAAATAAATGTTTAAATTTGTTAATATAAATAGTGAAATTTTTTTTTTAGTTGTTTCAAATGGAAGATTTTGAGATAGCGTTAATAAAAAACGGCCATTGTCCGTTTTGTCGAGACGCAAATGCAACAATAAATTAAATAAATAAATCAAGTACCTGACAATCTAAAAATCCGTCCAATTAAATTTTAATAAATTTAAAAAACTAAGTAGAAAAGTTATTGTATAAATTTTAAATTTTAGTGTATTATAGAGAACAAAACAGTTATTTAAATATTTACACACTACTGTACGCTAATTGTCACCACTGTTAGGTAAATACTTCCCGTTATTGTAAAGATTGTCAAATCACTGATCAGTATTAAGCAAGCATGTCTCTGATCTTCAACATAGTCTTCTTCATTGTTTTTTTTACATCTATTACAATTATTTATAGTGATACTGCATTAGGAGTAACTCGCAGCAAAAAATGTAAGATTTTTTAATTTTTTAATTTTATTATTCATTTATTGATCAATTCATTTATTAACTAGAAAATATTTATTGATAATTTTCATTGATTTTTTAGTCTTTCCACTGTTTAGTGTTGTAAGATTTGCAAATTCAGAATGCTCAGGCTGGAATTCGTTCAATGGAACTTGTTTTACACGTAAAGAATGTTATAATTATAAAGGAACGGCTTCTAGTACTTGTGCTAATGGAATCGGAACTTGTTGCATTTGTAAGTAACTAGCAATCTTGCAGTCACTGTGACTGCCGTAATTTTTGAACTATAAAAAATTAAATTTTGCTTTATTAAATAATGACTGTTGTTAAATTGCACTGTACTTTCTTAAATATTGACATTTTTTAAGATATAAGCTCATCCCGATGTTACACTCACCAAGAGCTTTCATTTGAGTACCCACATGCATTTTTTATATATTTTTCATATATACATATATATAATATACATAAATATATAAAATATATGAAAAATTGATGTGGGTACTCAAATGAAAGGTCTTGATGAGTGTAACATCAAAATGAGCTTATATTTTTAAAAATGTCAATAGTTCACAAAATAAAAGGTCATTTTTTGATTATGTATCTAGAGATAGAGCATTTTCTAAGGTAGCCTAAATACTTATAATAAATTGAATTATTTTAATTAATTAATTCAATTTTTGGTTTTTAATTTAGTTAAAAGAGAATGCGGATCAGTTACGAGTTTAAACAACACATATTTTGTGAACCCTGGATACTCTTACAGCTACACGGGCGGTCAGAGGTGTACAATAACAGTCTACCCCTGTAATTCAGATGTCTGTCAATTACGCATCGACTTTATGAAGTTCAGTCTAGCCCAGCCAAATGCCACCGGGGTCTGTGACAATGATTTTCTTCTGATATCTGGCGGGGCATCAACAGTACCCAGACTTTGCGGTGAAAATGATGATCAGCATGGTAAATTTTTTAACCCTAAATTATTAATAAAAATAAAAATAAAATTTACAATTAAGTTTTACTTTCAGTGTACGTTGATTTTAATGGAGCTAATCCGATAACAATATCAGTAGATACAAATACAGATTATTCATTTTCTCGCGAATGGAACTTAAGGTTACGACAAATATCTTGCGATTCATCGTGGCTGGGTAATAAAAAACTATAATAATGTCTTAATAAATAATAACAAAGCTAATATATGATTATAAAATTTAGCTCCAAAAAATGATGGGTGTCTTCAGTATTATAAAGCAATAAGTGGTACAGTGACAAGCTTTAATTACGGGACAATACCAAATACTAGAGGTAAAAATTTTATTTTCGCTCTATTTAAATAATTATTGTAACTAACTACAAAAATAATTTAATAATCAATTGATTATTATTTTATACTATGTATCTCATAGTTTCAACGCCACTTTTAACTCCAAATACTCGACAAATACAAAATTTAAATTACGGAGTCTGTATTAAAATGGCTCCTGGGTACTGTACTATCGAATGGTCGCAAGCAGACGCATCGTCCTTTACTATTTCCAGTAATTCGGGAATTGTTGATAGTACGGCAGGTAATTACAACAATTAAAAAATTTTAATATTCTAGATAATAATTTGAGCTGATTTTTTGATAATAAATAATTTCTTAGGCATCGATTACTCATTATCAGGAGAACTATGTACACATAATTTTGTAATAGTACCAAACCCGTCAGTAAATGGTACACGTTACAACACAGATAGATTCTGCGGTAATAGTTTTGAAACAAAACAGAGCAGTTCAAAGCCGTTTGTACTTTACGTAGTAACAAATCCAGATCCGAACGAAAACCTAGCTGAGAGTGATGATTTTGTAGACCACGACTTGGCTAACAGAGGTTTTGTTTTAAAATACCGTCAATTGGCCTGTGCAGTATGAAATAAATCGTTTTATAAATTTACAATTACAGTTATTGAAATTAAATTAAATTAATATTTTATGTCGAAACCAATTTAATTAAATTAGTATTTATTTTACCTAACTAACTTCAATAACTTAGCCAGTTAACAGCGAAGCGCCAGCGTGGTTGTTAACACGCTCGGTCATCGCTTGATACCAGCTGGACAATTTTGTGTGCTCCAAAGCGTCTTTGAATGCCTGGCACCCTTCAATACTCCGCAGTATGCCGTAGACCGCCAGGTCAGATAGGTCTGGATTATTGCCACCCATAAACGTCGATCCTCGCGCGTCTATTGCCTTCAGCCAATGGTTCAGCTCATCGTAAAATGACTCTCGGACGTTTGTTTTCAGGTGGTGCCTTTTTTGCAATCTCTTTCCTATCATCCACATCGCCCATGCTCCTACGTTTATCATTATCTTCCTTTCCCACGTTGGGAAATATTCTTCCCATTTTCCGACCTTTAAATTTATTTAAGTTAGGTATTATTTTGGAGAATAGTATAGAATTTTAATTATTTATGATAAGTATTTAGGCTGTATTTGAAAATGCTCTATTTTTAGATTCATATTTAAGAAATTACTTTGTATCTTGTGAAATATTGACATTTTTAAAGATATAAGCTCATCCCATTGTTACACTCATCGAGAGCTTTCATTTGAGTACCCACATGCATTTTCATATATTTTTCATATATACATATATATATAAAATATATGAAAAATTGATGTGGGTACTCAAATGAAAGGTCTCGATGAGTGTAATGTCGGGATGAGCTTATATATTTAAAAATGTCAATATTTAAGAAATGACCTTTTATCTTGTGAAGTATTGACATTTTTAAAGATATAAGCTCATCCCGATGTTACACTTATTAAGAGCTTTCATTTGAGTACCCACATCAATTTTTCATAATATATTTGATATATGTTATATATATATATATATATATGTATATATGAAAAATATATCAAAAATGCATGTGGGTACTCAAATGAAAGCTCTTGATGAGTATATCATCAGGATGAGCTTATATCTTTAAAAATGTCAATATTTAAGAAAGTACAGTGCAATTTAACAAGTCATTATTTAATAAAGCAAAACTTTATTTATTTATAGTTAAAATAATGATTAAATATCTGCCAAATTAATTTTCATGTACAAATACTTACATCTGAAAACCATTGGAAAGTTTCATAAGATTCACCAAGTGTTCTATAAACATTTGGTGACAACGTGTGAACTAATACCTCATCAGCCCATTTTCTCCATTTGCGTTCTTCCCTAAAATAAAACAAAAAATAAAATAATCAATCTTAAAAAATTAATAAAATAAATATAATAATTAAACAATTAAATAAATTACATGATATCATCAAGAGTCCGATCTTTAGGAATTTCTCCTTGGTACATCAAGAAGTACTTGTTAATAATTTCCTGTTTGAATTTTCCACCCTCGTCGTTCATCGCAATCACAGGATAATACTGAGCAAGATCATTCAAATTATTGGACATGTCAGTTAAATACGAAGCCAGCACTGACACGATCATGGAGCTGTCATTCAGCGGACGGTAGCCACCATCAACCTTGGCAACCAATATCGGAACCTTTCTGTAAGGCGACCAGCTGATTTCGCGTCTCAGCACGGGGTCCACTTCTACGACGTCGTAAGAGATTCCGTAGTAGTCTAAAAATGTCCGGACTTTGCAGCAAAACGGGCATGATTGATACTGGAACAGGGTGAGCTTCAAACCGGTCGCGTCTACCGGCGACAGAATCTAAAATTAAAAGATTAATTATTTATTTTGAGTAAACAAAGTATAAAATTCCTACATGTCAATTTTTTTACTCATTTTTTTTTTGACTTAATTAATTTATTTAAAAAAAATTATCAAATATCTGCTAAATTAATTTTAATAAAAAATTAGAAAAAAATATTGACATGTAGAAATTAAAAATTGTCAAGTGACTGCTAACTTAAATGTCATAACCAAACTCCATAATTAATAAATAAAATTTTTAACATACTCTTCTAGACGGTGTGATCGGAGGCTTGTACTTGAGGAGTTGAACCGGTAATTCGCTGCCCTCGAGTGACAAATTTTTTCTGTCACGTTCAATTTTCCAGAATGCATAACCTGTTCCTATTGCTGTACCAACCAATGCACCGATTATGCTCGTCTTTAAAAGCCCACGAGTTGGTTTTGGCTCCTGGACAACTGTCCTGAATGACTTTGTTAACTTTAAGTGATGTGTTAGTGGAGTTTTGTTTAAAAAATAACACGAAAGGCGTGTTGATTTACGAAAAACAGCCATGATTACTGATTAACTTAAATATATAAACTCACTGGATTGCATAAAGTTTGATAATAACTTTTTTTAAATTCACCGTTTACTGACATTAGGTAAATTCACCGCTTACTGGCTGAACAAAAATGGCGCAGATTTTGAATTTTTGTTAAATAGTACACAAATTTATCCATAGATGTCTCTTCCAGTAACGTTTTACACTTTTTACATCATCACGAGATCGTCAGAGTATTACATATTTTTTTAAACAAAATTGACATATTTATATGATTTAAGGAAATCCTTTTGCTCCAGTTGAGTCAAAACAATTGTAGTAGTCAATATACGATAAATTAAAAAAAGAAACCCATAAAAATTCCTAAAATTAAATAATAAATAGTATATGAGGCATTAATCGTTGAAATTTTGAAAATAAAAAAAAAAAAAAATAGTTAAATACAAAAATTAATTTGACTCTTTCAAATCAACTGCTAGTAACCTGTCCGTGATTTGGCAACGGTGTACTTCGGTTGTTTACATTTTCATTTGCACAATATAACCTTAACCACGTTTAAGCTTTTGCAGTCAGTGTAAATAAATAAATTAGTTTGAATTTATTGAATGGTCTGAACTCGCGCGCTACGCAACGTTGCCAAATGTTTTGATTCCATTTTAATGTAGGTTACTTGAGAATTTTTTGGGATTTTTAAATATTAATTTCTCAATAAATATCTCGGTAACTGATATATTTTATTCCAAAAAAAGAAACCTGAATATTTTTTAGTTTTAATTTTATTAATAAAAAATTAAAAACGTCGGCTAACTTTAGGATTATTCTTTTACCTTACTCAAAGTTTTAGAATGATATTTTTATTAGTAAAAACTATCAAAAAATGCAAAAAAAATTAATATTTTAAAAATTTCACATTTAGAAAATTTATTCACCAAAAAAAAACTAGTTTATTCATCCTTATCTTAGATTAAAAGATATGAAAATTAAGTTAGCCGGCATCTAAAAATTTTTATAACTTTTTTTATTGAAAAAATTGTTACAAAAGAATTTAATTTATTAAAAACTATGAGTGCAATTTTTAAAAAAATATTTTTGAGTTCTAATTTTATTAATGAAAAAAAAAAAATCAAAAATTAAAAACGCCGGCCAACTTTAAGATTATTTAAAATATCACCAATATTTGTGGTAAAATCTAATGACCCATCATCAGAACAATTAGTTTCTTTCTCCAATGAAGTTATTTAATTTTTTTCCAAAAATTACCCATCAAAATTCCATTTCTTGTAATCAGTAATCCATCATCTTCAGATTTCATAGAAACCAAACAAAAGTGATACTTAAAAGGGCATCGACCTTCAGAAGAAGAAAAAGAGAGCCAAGTTCTTTTTCAATTATCAGAGTTCTCTCCAGAGACAATATAAGCCCGCGGACATTTTTATCGTTCCTTGGAACCCACCCACGAAATTCCAGCGCCAAAACAATCTGACCGACTTGAAGTAACAGTACGTGAGTGTTTTTATTTATAATAACAATTATTACTATTCTATATATGTTTATTTTAAATTCCTGTTGGACGTCAGAGGACCTACCATCATCAGTGGTGAAGTCCTTCCTCTAATTACAATGTTCGAAGGGATTCTGCGAAGGCATACGAGAGCCCTAAGTGGTAATCATCCCCTGATGGCTATTCCCTATGGCCGGATGCTCAAAAACCAAATAAGTTTCTTCTCCAAGAGTTTGCGAGCGATAAAAAGCCCCCAGGAGTTTTCTTCCCAGTCTCTGATTATTCTAGACGTGATCCACCCACGAAAGAGAGTTCTCTTGACATTCCGCTGGCTTAAAATCAGTGTCTTAGTCTGTCTGTCGTTCCTATCCATTCGGCCTTAATACACGGAATGTTTTTGATTCTCCGCGATGACCATTTCGACGTCCCTTCAGGTGATGCCGGTCCTTATACATATATTCTCCAGCGAATGCTCTTCAAATAACAGGTTGATAGATTTTTACTCCGTTAAAATTAGCCCGAGGGGTTTTTTTTTAAAGTTTGTCATTTTTAAAAATTACTTTTTCGTCTTTTAAATTTATTCTTCGGACAAGTATAACAATTAATCCTCAATCACTGTAATCCCGGCAAGCTGTTTGAAATTTAAATAATATAAATATTAAAATAGTGTTTAACAAATTTAAATATAAGCGAAAATAAAGATCCAGTTAGGTGGGGAATTACTGGCATTACAAATCGCATTCAAATGAGAGCGTTGTATGTATATATATATGCCGTGGTCTTGGTCCTGCATAAACGTTCTTGGAAAGGTATTCTCAAAATTCAAGATCATAATAATCATTTGAATCGGTCCACTTAGCGTGCGTGTAATTTGTCCAGGATGTTTTTCTGTTTTGACTCTTTTTTGCTTTCTCCCACTTTAATCTTCTGTAAGCCAACAGCCCGTCTCCAATCCACTCGATCCGCTCAAAAAGTTATAATAAAATTAGTTATTTTTTTTTTATTTTTTCTCCGAAGCCAAAAGACATAATTACCGTGATAAGCAGGATTATCGAAATCATAATTATTTAATTTGTTATATAATAAGGAATTATTTTTTGTAATTGATTCGCTGCATTATGAGTTCAAATTATTGCACTAAAAAACACTAGTTTAAAAAAAATTTTGCGTTGAAAATTTGAACTGTTTTAAGATGGTTTGTTTAAATTAATTCTAGAATTAATTAATTTAGAACAGAATTAACTTAAAATTTTCTAAAAAAATTTATTTATATTTTTCCTAACAATTTTTTTCTCAAAAATTAAATCACAAGGTAATATTAATTAATTTTTTGTTAGAATATCAACAATTGATTATTTTTATTGTTTTTTATATTGTTATTTTTTAATGAAAATTTTAATTATTTCTGATGAATTTTTCTATTATTATAAAATAATATTAAAAGAAAAATAATTCTTGAATCAAGATAAAGTGATCTTAAAAATAATTTTATTTTTAGACACGAGTGAACCTTCCGTGACACTACTATGATTTAAAAATAAAATTATGTATTGAGAATAACTTTCTCAAGTATATTATAGTTATTCCGTTAAAGTATATGAAATTTGTTTACTCGAATTATTTCGTCTGCTTAGATGAGGATTTAAAAATTATTTTGGCGCGTATAATAACAATAATTAAAAATTCAAGATTAATAAAATGTTCGAGGTCAATTAACCCCGTTTGCGGATGTTTTTGTGTGTTCAAAAAGTGTAACGAGTTTGCGGGTTCTTTTAAAGGGAATAAACGCGATGATGTAACACAAGTTTAATTACAACTTTGTAATTAAAACTTGAAAATAACTTTTTGAATTTGAAATAAACTTCAAGATAAACTTAATTTGCACTCGGTAAATTAGCTTACGTCGGGAAGACATGATGATGATGAGGTATGTAGATCTTATAAAGAGTTGATATTAACTAAAAGGTCTTACCTTTTTTATATTTATTTTTTTTTAAGTATTTACAAAATTTGTAATTGAAAATTTTCTACAAATTCTAATAATTTTATTTAATTAATAGACAAAACAATATTTTGCCATAATTGATAATTCATTTAAAAAATAATTAAGTAAAAGTTTGCGTTAAATTTTTTTTTAATTACATAATTCTTAAAAATTTAATTAAAAACAATTTTATACCTTCAAATTTTCTAAAAAAATTTTTTTTGACTAAAAAAAAAGAAAAGTTGAGTGAACTCTTAAGTTTTTTTTAAGAAAATTAAAAACTAACTTAAAAAAAAAAATTTTATTAAAAATTTTCTCGAGCGTGATCTCGTATTGGATCTGCGTTTCTACTCTCTCATCTTCCCTGTCTGAACGGTACACCCATGACGATAAATCATGGTAAGCGGTAACTAGTAACCGATTCACATTTATACGACTGTTGTGAGATATTAGCTATTACAAAGAATTATGAGCAAGTCTCCACTCTTGTGTATCGCTATCTTACTCAACTTATCATCTATTCTCTTTTTTTTTCTCTCTTTCTCTTTTGTATATAATAATTCCACAATGACTGTGATCGCGCGTTATGAATTACACCGCGAAACCCGCTATCGTTTCGGTTTTCGAATTAGGCGTCGTAATGATGGACGGCTCATCCGATACCCAGCAACCTAAGACGCTAAGATCCATCTGTTCTGTGGAGTATTTTTCATTTGCCGTAATGCACCACGGAGAATTAACTTTTTATATCAGATACGCACTCAAGAAAATTTTCTTATGCTAGAAATACCACTTTTTTAAAAGGATTAATTAATCATGCCTTTAATTCCGCAATGGTTATATTTTGTTGTTAATTCTATTTTACTGATTTATTATTTTCATTATTCATCTTCATCTTCATCTCTATTCAAATAATTATTTTTTCTATTCATTGCATGCGTTTTACATAAGCCATATATTGGTATTTGCTAGAAATAATTTTTAAAATCCGATCAAAAATAAGTTTTAAATATATTTTATAATGACTTGACGTCGAAAAAAAAATTTTTTTCTATTTTTAATGAAAAAACTTGATCTTTAATTAAAAATATTATTATTTTATTAATCTTTCATACTTTTAATCACAAATTGGTTGATCAAAGAAAATTTATCTTGATCCAAGGTATTGCTAACCAAAATTTATTAAAATTAATTATTCTGAAGCGAATACAGTTGTAGTTTCAATATCTTGACAATGTTAATTGAATTGAATTATAACAATGTTTCATTGTTATAATTCATCTTTATTTTGAGGTGATTCAGTTGGAAAAGCTGAAATGTTGAACGGTTGAAGAATGAATGACGTTGGAGAATAAATAGCATGAATCATTTGATAATTAGAGCATTCACCGACGTGTTCATGATTACAATGTTCAGTTATATTAACAAAATAGTGGTGTTGGCATTTAACTCGATATAAATTACACCCGTAGGAATTTTGTTTCGTATAAGTATAATGGTAATTAAATGTGTATGGAAAATATGTGAACGGTCGAACCGATTGTTTATGAGGCCAAATTTGATAAGCTTTAACGTTATTACAATCTCCTATCAATGAGTGTGTCCAGAAACTTTGATGATTGAGATTATTGTGGCAATTGATTAGGTACCAGTTGCAATATTCCGGTGTTTCGTGTTTCAAAATAAACCGTCTGGTCTGAACAACCACCATTGTGAGCATCTATAATTTTTTCGGGTGTTGAAGTAGTAGTTATACCATATGAAGCCAATTCATTATGTGTCATTAAGACAAAAGCTGATTTTTCATTTATTTCAGGTGTCAAAGTACTAATTTCATCATTTGTAGTTGGTGTTGTAGTACTACTTACTTCAGTTTCTGTAGTCGGTGTACTTGTAGTTGTTTCATCTGGCGTTACAGTACTAATTGAATCATCTTTCGTTGATTTAATTGATGTTGTTGAATCAATTAGTGATTCCGCAGTTGTTTTAGCTGTCAAAATTTTAATTACATCATCTGTAATTGGTGTTATAGCAGTACTAAATACTTGAGCTTCTGTAGTAACTTCTAGTGTACGAGCTTGGGGTATTTCTATGGTACTAATAATAATTTCACCAACTGAATTGGTCTTCAAAGCCGAAACAATGGGCTCGCCGACAGGAGTCACTGTATCTTCAGGAATAATGGTGTCAGTATCAGTTATGATGGTGGCTTTTAATGTTTTAGGTGATCCTGTTATAATTTCTCTTGAAACGTTTCTAGACGTGCCAGCAGATTCTAATGGATTGCCGAGAGCTTAAGAGGCTTTTGCATCTGAATAAACTGTTCCGTTAACAGTTATATGGTGGTCATCTCAATGTGGTCATCTCTTCAATTACTCCTTTCAAATCCATTATCGTCAATTTTATTGGTGCTGCCTGTAACATTTTTTTTTAATTTTTCAAGTTATAATTCTTTAGGCGCGTTATGAAAAAAATATGAGCGTGAAATTTTAAGATGTTAAACCGCTCATTTAATTTTGAAAAAAAGCTACCAACAAAATAGAAATAGAACCTCTATTAGTCGCGCATGTTGGTAACCTCGTCACCTATGACCAGTGTTTTTACATTAATGATATTTATCCACATGTTTCTTTAGTTTCTAAATGTAAAAAACGGTGCTTTGAGCTTGAAAAGATTAAATATTAACCAGAAAACACATTTTAACGAGTTTCAAATTCAAACTTAGCAAGAAGTTCTAGGGTTGGCCTCCGCGGTCAACCGATTTCCAGATTTTTTAAATTAAATCTATCATATTGGATTTTACTGACATAAGTAATTGTTTCTTAAATTATCTCTGGCCAAACAACAAAATAAAAAAATTAGAAAAACGGTACACCCTGAAGGCCATTCCTGCAACTTCCCGCTAATTCTATACCTAAACGTTTGAAATTGCACTTATGACGTTTTAGAGCTCTTCGAGCTCATAAATACAAGTTGTGTATTATTTTAAGCTCTTCAAGCTCAAAAAATATCTTTTGTATGCTTTTGAGCTCTTTGAGCTCAAAAGTTTGATAGAAATTTGACAAAACACTATTTTTCGAATTTTCAAATCGCAATAACTTTTGAATGAATGAACCGATTTTCACGCAGTTGGTGGCATTCGACGCAGTTTTTCAGGTTTCATATAGAATTTTCAAGTTTAAATTGATAAAGCAACAAATTTCGGAGCAATTCCAAAAAAACACTTTTTTCGGCTTTTTTTTTTTCTCTACGCTAGCCGTAAGAGCCCCAATACATGCTCATGTACCAGTATATTATCACTCCATGTATTTGTATATCTATATTCATAAATATAGATATACATTGTAGGTATTCAAATGAAAGCTCTTGATGAGTGTAACATCGGGATGAGCTTATATCTTTAAAAATGTCAATGTTTCTCAAGATACAAGGTCATTTCTTAATTAAGTATCTAAAGGTAGAGCATTTTCGAAACCAGCCAAAATACTTATCATCATAAATTGACTATTGATGAGAATGATATGAAACCTTGAAAAGGCACAACTCGCGGTCAAAAGTTTTCTAACGATTTTATTTAATTTTGTAGATGAAAGAAATTTCTTTAGTTTTGAACCCCAATAACAATATTAAATAAATAATCGTATTTAAGCTATCATTTAATCCTTAACATGATGAAACAAATTCTAGTTAAAATCTCATAAATATATACATCCATACATCTCTAAGCTTGGACTTTTAGATTCTAGTAGCCTCTGGGTCCATCCAAAACTCGGCATGACAATTAAATCTCTTTTAATCGCTGGTGAGTAATTGTTCGAAATTAGAGTCGCTGTCAGTTTGGACCGCATGAACTCGAGCAGCTCTTTCATTATCCTCTACTCCACACTCGAGTAGACAGACATGGAGAAAGAAAATCAGAGAGTACGAAAAATAAAATTTCGAATAAAAAGAGGCATCCTTTCACTCTCGCTTTATTATATCGTTCTGGTATCTCGCAATGTAGAGGTATATACTCGGGCTTTTTTATCTTTTATCTTGCTCTACTGTTTCACAGCAGCACTTAACAAAATACATCCCAGTGATTATTGGCCGCGATAATGATCGAGTCGCTTGGATGCGAGAGTTGTCTATGCCAAGTTGAGATTATTGCTGCCCATCCAGTCCATCCTTAGGCAATGCGAGGGTGGTTATTAGGACCCAGTAACATCTTAAAGTCTCTTGTCACGCCCTCCTTGCTCTCAATCCTCACCCAAGTACCTGTCACTTTTTTAACTCAACAGTTTTTTTTTTTTTAATAATAATAACTTTAATTTATCATTGTAAAGTTGTGGATACTTTTTATTGTAACTTTAGATTTTTTAACAAGTAAAATCAAAAAGTTTCTTTGAATCCTAATTTTAATCCTTAAATTTTTTTTTTATAAATTAAAATTTTATTTTAATAATTATTTTAATTGTAAAAGTTATTTTTGAGGATGGTAATGATTACTATCGAGGATAATAATTATGATTTTTCATGTGGAATTTAAATTAGCTTAGAAAATAATTATTATAGTTTATGATGGTAACTGTTACTATTTTTCAATTATTATTTATTTAATAACCTAAGTACTATAAGCTTCTTAAAAAATAATAAAAAAGTTCATTTTTATTTTATAATTAAATATTTCAAGATTAATTTTTTTATTTTAAAATAAAAATTATTTTGGCTTTAGCTTATATTAAATTTTTTTTTATTTAATTCCAATAATAATATTTGGAATAATTTTTTCATAGTATAGTTTAGTAACAGCATTGAGAAAAAAAATTTTTTCTTTTAATTAAAAACCTAATCAGATTATATTTCAAGATTTTTTGACTAACTCTTTATTAGGGAACAACTTCTAACTCTCTTGTTAGGGGATAATTTAGCGACCATGCGCCACCTGTCGGGATTTCCTAGAACTAATTTTAATCGAAATGATTATATAGCAATAATAAGCATAATAAATTAAATTAGCCAAAATAATTTACGATTTATTTTTTTTATTAAATCACTTTAATTATTTTTCTAGGATTAATATAATCTTAAGAGAAAATTATTATTTATTACAAACCGTAATTTTTATATCGACCGTACGATTTTTATAGCCAATTATGATAACCATTAACTATGAGTTTAATAATCAGTAACAGTATTCGTTAAGCCGCCGACTACTTATTATTAATTCGCAAAAAGAACTTGGCTACCAGTTGGCTATAAATAAAATAAATAAAATAAATAAAAAATGTAAAATGATAACCCGAAGACAAATACATAAAACGTGGATCTAAAAATGGTATTAAATGAAAAAAATAAGTGAAGTGATGTGATGTGATGAGTAGATCCCTACAAGGAGCTTCTACTCCATTAACGACAATTTAATGTTAAATTAAATCCTCCCTCTCGCGATGTAATGCAGCTTCTTGAAATAGCCGACCGCCAAGATATAAAAACGGACAGGGTATGATCATCAGAACTAAACAAAAATACAAATATATATAAAAGTAAAGAAACGGGTCGTAATGGCACTTGGAACGACATAGTCGTTGGTTATACACGGTGCTCGTTCGAATACTCTATCCTAACTTATATATACGACCGGTTTTTATGTTATTCGTTCACCATCAGGGATTCTTAACGATCGAATTTACCGATCAACACTCAACTTTTATCGATTATTCCCCAGCGTTCTTAAACTTGGACATTTACGTTATATTACGACAATAACCCCCGGATCATACCTGCATTGATGTAATTTCAAGAATCCAGTAGCTAATTTAATCTTATGCGCCCACAAGTTCAATATTTTAATCATTGCAATTTTTAGATCAATGTTTAAATCTATTTTATTTTATTAAAATTATTTATAGAGGATATATTTTTCTTTTTGCTGCATTCGAAAATGCTCTATCTTTAGATAGGTAATGAAGAAATTACCTTTTATCTTATGAACTATTTACATTTTTAAAGATATAAGCTCATCCCGATGTTACACTTATCAAGAGCTTTGATTTGAGTACCCACATGCATTTTTGATATATTTTTCATATATACATATATATGAAATTTATAAATATATGAAAAATTGATGTGGGTACTTAAATGAAAGGTCTTGATGAGTATAACATCGGGATGAGTTTATGTCTTTAAAAATGTCAATAGTTGACGAGATAGCAATGTCAGTTCTTAATTATTGACGTTTTTAAAGATATAAGCTCATCCCGATGTTACACTCATCAAGAGCTGTCATTTGAGTACCCACATGCATTTTTGATATATTTTTCATATTAACATATATATAAATATACAAAATATATGAAAAATTGATGTGGGTACTCAAATGAAAGGTCTCGATGAGTGTAACATCGGAATGAGCTTATATCTTTAAAAATGTCAATAGTTCATAAGATACAAGGTTATTTCTTAATTATGGTATCTAGAGATTGATCATAAATAGCGCAATATATTGCTAAATGTATGAAATAATATTGAAAACAAAAAAAATTAACTTAATTCAAACTCGTAATTAAATAAAACACGTATTGCGCTTTTACTGAAATATTTAACTAACTCCACTTATTTAAAGTATTCGAAAAATAATTAAACCAAGGGTACTCAGTAGAATTTTCTTCTTCTTAAATATACTGTACGCATACCGATGATCATGATATAACCAGCAGATTGCGATGCAAATGAAAAAATTGAAAAAATAATGGCGCCGAACGAAGACGCGGGGCGTGTTTATAAATATCGTGTACCCCTGTACTAGTTCAGTACATATATGTGCAAATAAAGTACGAGTATGATCGGTGTTACACACTTTTCTATCTTATTTACTGGTGTATTATAGATTGGAATTAAATTGGCGTAAAGTGAAATAAAGACACGGCAGGCGTCCTTCCATCTCTTTGCTCCTCATTCCTCTTGATCTCAACTTGTCTTCTTCACCTGTCGTCATTGCCCATTGAAATATATAAGTACACATGCGCCGATTCCGGTTGCCGATCGTCCTCCGCCTCCTCCAGCTCTTCATTGCAAGAGAAGATACAATTACAAGATCGGTAAGAGATATTGCGAGTAGATGAAATTTTTCTACTCAATGATCGGTTGATTCTTCCTCCCTGTTGCTACTGTAATCCTCCGATAGTATAATTATCCTATTAATAGACAATTTAATGAATTTTATTTTCAAATATTTTTAAAAATTCTATAATGAAGTTTATCAAATTGGACTTTTTATGAAAAATATTATCCTTTAAAACTTAACTCTCTTGAAAGGAGACAATTTAGCGATCATGCGCCATCTGTCGGCGATTTTTAACACTATCTATTCTAAAAAAATTATATATAAAAATTTTTTAATTTTTATTTTATTAAAAGGCGATATTTAATTAATTATAATCGGAAAAATTATTTCCTCAATATTATTGATATATTTTAATTCGATATAATATTAAAAATCTTTATTAGCCTGGTATAGAGTGAGGATGGTTGTTGATGACGACACCTCATTTTCAGAATATCTATATATATATATATATATATATATATGTATAAGATTATTATTAGACGTAGAATTATCGTTTCCATGCATCAACGTCGTGTTTGTTTGACCTATTATGTGTGTTTGGTAAATAAAATACAGGTGTTATTGCTTTGGCAAATGAGTTTTATTGTGTTGCGTACTTTCTTAGTGTATAAGTATATGGATGTATATAGCGGCTGATTAATTACACCCGAGTCATGTCGATCATGGGATTATTCATTTTGAAATGGCTAAATCATTTAGTAAACATGATGAAGAGGATCACATGATAAAGACTATGAAGAATTCGAGTAATTCATCTTGGCTCGGAGTGTAAATAAATTAGTCAAAAAAAGTGAATAATTATCTCGAGGTGTCGTAACTTTTAACTACATACTGTGTTGAGAATCTATAGGTAGTTAATTTTTAAAAATTGCCCGTTAATCTATTTTATTGAAGGATTAATCACAGTCTTTAAATCCTTCTTATTGAATATTAAATTATACAGAAATATTTATAGCAAATAATTTTGATTTAGTTGAAGCAACAATGTAAGATTTTTTTTTTATTTCCGTTGAATTTATTGCAATTATAGGAGAAGTACCTACTTTTATAACTCTTAAATTTTTAAAAATTAGAGCAGTGTCCAGTAAACTTTTGATGTTCTCAATTGCATACACATTGATGTCTCCTGTAACAAATAAAATTATTTTGACTTTGATAAGTGGAAAAATTTATTTTGTCATAATTTATTCTCACCTGTGTTTAGTCCAATCAACAAAAGATCTGCAAAAATAAAAACACATGTAACTATCTCATTTTTGGCTAATGGTATACTGCAGACTTCCCAAACAGATACTGTGTCCTTAGCTTGTATTACTCTAGCAGTGAGAAATCCAGCTGAATATAAAATAAAAATAATCACTACTTTATGAATTATAAGTCAAATACTTTATTAAAAAAACAAGAAAAATATTACCATGTGCAAGAATAGTGACATTCATACTAGAAATGTGGAATTCACATATCAGATCATCATCGACGATTATATCATCACCGACTCGAGTAGTGCTGGGTCTTAGTGGAAAAAAGTCATCGTCAATCTGAGTAAATACTGGAATGTTTTGTTGAATCTGAAAAATTGTAATCACTGCAGCCGTTCCAAATTGCATCAATACTTGTAACTGAAAAATTATTTATTTTTAAAAAATTATTATTTTTGTTCAAGAAGTTCTAAAAGGGTTAGAATCTTCTAACCTATGAAAAAATTTTCTGATATGCCAGATCAGGCTATCTAAATAAAAAAATTCATTTTTCAATTTTTAATTTAATATTTAATTAAATAACAATCAACTTGATAGTTTATTTAACTAAAAATTAATGTCATATAAGCTTTGAAAAATTTATTTTTATTTTATAACTTAATTTATTATATTTAACTCTGTTATAGCGAGACGATTGAACGATCATGCGCCATCTGTTGGAAATTTTCAACACTAAATTTTATCGGAAAGTTATTTATGGTCATAATAGGCTTGATATAGCCAATTTTTAATTATTTTTCATATTGAAACAGTATAAATAAACTTATTAGGCCATTTATGGTTATCTGGTAATCAGAAAAAATTTTTTAATGGGTTATTAAATAATAAATTCTACACAATTATTGTAAGATAAAATATATTTAACAAATTACTTTGTCTTGTTCGCTGTAAAGTGCCAAAAATTTAGCATCTGGATCGTTGTATATCTCAACCTGACAATTAGCTCCTTGATGAATTTGGTTTAAATCGAATTTATATTCAGTGATTGTATACTCATGTTCAACAAACAATCGACGGTTCAAGCCAACGCTATTGTTTAAAAAAATTATTAACTTCAAATATTGTTATTGTTATAATAAGTAATATCAAAATTTATTATAAACAACCATAGATTTCTGCCGTAGTATACTTCAGAAGTAACAATTTCTCTCTTTAGGTAGACATTCCAAAATTTGAGCTGTTCTCTCGCGGATGTTGTGACTGCAATTAATTCCTTAGGGCCTGTTGAATTACAGATCTTTTTCAGAGTCTTACTTACAGAATTTGTAACTCATTGATTTTAGAAATTTAAAGAATATAATTACCCAAGTACCATAATTTTATTTGAGCGACAGAATTTTGATTTTTTGTGTGATATATAGGTTGATGGTTTATTCGATCTACTTTGTAAAAGTAAATAGATCCATTATTTGTTCCAACAGCTAAAATTTTTACTAAAAATCATGTAAAAAAAAAAAAAATTAATTTTTTAATCCAAAAATTATATAATAAAAAATATTTTTTTTTTATTTGAATTTTAAATAACTTTTATTTGATAAATTTTTTTTCGCCTTGATATTAAAAATTTGAATTATTTATTTTAAAATTGCGGGAAAAAATTTAGGGCCGATTTATAAAATAATTATCAATTATTTTATACAAAATAAAACATTATTCTATTAAAGCTCTGAGTAATGCAAATTGTCATTAAATGACATGATATTACTGATGTTATGACTATTTGCGATAAAAGTGACAAGCGATAAAATGTTAATCGAACATTTTAGAACTGATAAATTTCATTCTATTTCTATGGTTACACTCTAATTATACAATTCAAAGACTTTCGACGTTAAGACGCGGAATTTTTCTTAAATAACAAAGAATTAATTTGATTACAAAATATAAATGTAAGTAAATTAAAGAAAGTCACATTAAATTAAATAAATTTTCCATGTACGTAATTAATTATATTCTTACCCCAAACATCAAAGCAAGTAATTACTTCATTATCTCCGAAATTTTTAGTGAAATCACAAGATTTTTTGTCCAGTTCGCGGTTACTATTTCCAAACAACTTCCATTTTTGGTAGGAAAGGAACATTTGCTTAAAAACACTCTGGAAGAACAGTCTCCACTGTTTTTGTCTCACTGTTGGAAATCGCTTGGCTATAATTTGACTCTTCCAATAAGTTGCATTTTTTTGAAATAACGTTCCCCATAACTTATTCCTAGTAATAATTCTTTCAATGGCCTCGTAAAAAGTTTGGCACAAATACCGAAATTTGAAGCGTTCTTTATTGCTTAATTTTATAAAAATCTTTTCCCAAACTTCACGAGGAAAAATTTCCAGTGCATGCTTCATATTTTTCAAATTAAAAGTTTGTAATAATTTAAAATTAATGACAGTAAATTTAATTAATTTATAAATATACTACACAGACACTTTATCAAACTAATAATAAAAATGTGTCTCTAAATAATGATTATTTTATTTTTCTTTTAGAATGTTCTGTAAGTCGCCAGACTATTAAATCATCACGCTATTAAGACTGAAATATATTTTTATAATTATCAAGTAAGAAATTTTACTTACAAAATACTTGCAATTAATTTGTTTCTAGTATTTTTTTTACCAAAAATTTTAACAGAAAAAAAAACAATTTATTTACGCCGAAAAGTTCAATGAAATTTCAAATTTTGACTTAATAAAGAAATTTCATTTTTGATTTAATTATTAATTTTTTTTTTTCAATTAATTAAATTTTTTAATTATCAATTTTTTTCTCCTCCAAAAAGGTTAAAAATTGCATTTATTAATTTTTTTCAATCATTTTAATTTCATAAAAAAAACCTTTAAGTTTTCTTCAAATTTATTAATTTTTCGGTCAATTTTTACAATTTTTTTTTTTTGCATAAAAAATTAATTTAAATTAGTAAAAATTATAAAACAAGCCCAAATCGGTCCACATAATTTTTTTTTATCCAAAAAAATTAAAAGATAATTAATGTTAAGTATGCAAGGGGGAAAAAAAAAAATAAATTTTAGAAATTCTTTACACAAAATTTATTTTTTTTAGTGGGATCTCGTATCGTCGATGATGAAGCACCGACCAGGTTACCTAATGTCCGTACAATGGCGACAACAGCATGTTCCTCTCTGCCTCTACCTGACTTTTCTGGACATAACATTCTCACCATTAATAAATCTCCGAACAAGGGTATATGCCGCGATATCTCTCCTCGTATCTGCAGAGCTCACTAGAGTTAAATATGTTATAAATCCTCGGATGAAATATTAGAGAATCTTTTGAATGCAACTAATGTCTCGGTTTTCCCAGTTATGTTTCTACATATGATACTCATATTCGCATAAACACCAGTAGATCATACACATAACTTATCATGCCAAAAATCCGATCGGAAAACTTTTTCAAAATTTTTTAGATTTTATTTTGAAAAAATATTAATGGAATTTTTTTTTTAACTTGCTAAAAACCCCGCGAGCTTCATCAAAAATAATTTAATAACTTCCGTTAAAAAATAAGAAGTTAATAATATTTTTCTAAAACTAAGCTTGAAGTTATTGAGTGGACTGTTATATTTTTTTAATACTTTTCCAATTAAATTTGATGTAATAAACATCACATTTATTTAACAATTACAATGACCTCAACCGAGTATCTTAAAAACAAAAATAATGTCCTAGCTCTATTTAATTTTAGTATTTACGCACTACCGGTTAGAATTGAGTCATTGAAAAAAAACGAAAATTCGAAGCAATAAATAATTATTTTAAAATATTTTTCGGGTTAAAAATTAACAACATATAATTGAAACTTGCAAAAAATGTCTAGTTTTAAATTTTTGGTAATTTTTATTACATTGTCTTCAATAACGCAAGCAGATCGTTCATTAACAAAAGATCAAGTTGATGCTGAATGTGCTTTTAGAAATTCTTTTGTAAGTATATTTATCGAACCAAAATTTGAAAATCAAATTTTTACCTTAATTGATTCTTTCAGTGTAATTTGAATCTCAAACGTCCGTGCTGTCATATAAGAGACGTTTGCATGCCAAGTGGGCCGGAAAATCTCTTCAGATGCACTGAAAAAGGTTGTTATGATTTATAATGCATATAAAAAATTATAATTACAATTACTCTAATACTTTTCGATAGTCGGATTAGGAAAGTTCTGTTACCGTAATGACGAGTGCGATGAAATCCACCATGCGAAATGTTCAAAAGATAACAAGTGTGTTTGCAGAGCTAAGAATGTTCAGATAAGTGAAATGTCATGTGGGCCGCTATTGGGAGGATTTTGTTGGAAAAATGAGTCTTGTCTAACGAACAATGCTGTTTGCATTGATAATGAGTGCAAATGCAGAGATAATTTCTCTTTAAGATCCAATGATCAATGTATTTTTGGTAAGTAGCTTTAAAAAGTTTGGTAAATTCAAAATTTTTAATAATTTTATATTAAACCTCAGAACAAAAATAATTAATAAATTTAATTAAAATAATTTTAATAATAGGTTAATTACTAGAAAATAATTTGACTTAAAATTCTATTTTAAAGCGCGTTTAATTAAATTTTTCCACAAAAAAAAACTAGTTAAAGACTGTTTTACCTTTGGTCAATCAACGATACAATTAAGTATAGTATCAGATATCTTAAAGCTGTATTTACAAATAAATTTTTAGATATGGCTGCTCAAAGGATGGAAAATTTCTCCAACTGCCAGCCGAAAAAAATTAATTATAATTAAACAAAACAAATTTAAGCTGCAATTTTAATTCCAGAACTTTTTATTAGACAGATGAGGAGATTAAAAAATAAATTGATTTGAAATATTGATTTTCTCAAAAGTTATTGTGTTTGTCCCTTCAAAAAGACTTTAAAAATTCACACCAAAATTCATTAAACCAATTTTTTTATGTAAAAATTGCAATTAATCTATTAAAGAAATTCCGATAAATTTTTTATCTTTTTTTTCTTTCTAATTAGCGGTTAATTTTTGTCTAACAGTATGCTTTTTGCATCATTAAGATTTGAATCTTAATTTTTAGTATGTAATATTGATTAGATTTTCTATCGATTTTCATTGAAATTTTCTGTTGAAGATACATTGGGAGCTCATTGTGAGAATGACATCCTTTGTCAAGAAGTTAGATTTGCAAAATGTTCGCAAAATAATACTTGTCAATGCTCATCAAATACTGTTGCTGTCAATCCGACCTACTGTGCTGCAGTAATAGGAGGGTTTTGTTGGACAAAAGATGACTGTTTACCTCTGAATTCTGATTGCATTGATAATAAGTGTCAATGCGACAATCTGCATACAGCGGATTCTAACGAAAAATGCACACTGGGTAAATACAGTGATTAACCTGAATTAAGTCCCTCCTTTATTCTCTTCATCCGATATTTTCCCCAATTTCAAAATTTGTCTTTAATGACAAATTTAGCTATGAATTATTGTTAACCAATGAGTACATGATCACACATGTTATATCCAATAGATTATTGAATATTTTCAGCTCATATCGGAATGGCCTGTGATAAAAATTCTGAGTGCAGCCGTTTGATACCATTTACAAAATGCTCAAAATTAAAAAAGTGTATTTGTAAAGAAAATTATTTTGAGCATAATCTGACAGCATGTTACCCAAGTACTCGGAGTAGCGAATATTGCATTGATACTAGTGTGCCTTGCAGGAAGAACAACTTTGTTTGCATCAACTACCACTGTCAATGCAAGCCCAACTTTGTTTATAAAAACTCTAAATGCTTTCCTGGTGAGTTTGATCAAGTTTGATCAATCCATAATAATAATTATTTTATAAAATTTTGAAGAGTTTTACTTTTTAATAGATCGGTTGTACGAATCTTGCAACAGTACTTTTGAATGTCACAATATAGAACATGCTACATGCTCAGATGACAACATATGTGTTTGTGATAAAAATTACGCTGCCTGGGATGAAAAATTTTGTAGACCAGTGCTCGGTGGAATTTGTTCTAAAGATAAAGATTGCTATGCTATCAATTCGGTCTGCATTGACAAAAAATGTCAATGCAAAGAACTCTTTTTCAAGGTTTCTGAAAATTTATGTCTGTCACGTAAGTTGAAAATTTGTAACAAATTCATAAAGAAAAAATTGAGAAAGTTTGTCAATTAAATTGCACTGCAGAAAGATTAGGAGAGAATTGCACCTATCAACATGATTGTGCGGCAATTCGGAACGCTGAATGCACTGAGAACAATGTATGTGAATGTTTGCCTGGGTATGGTCAGTACAATATTACAACCTGTGGTCTATTACTCGGCGGGGATTGTTCCAGAAATGAACTATGTGCTCCAGTCAATTCTGTCTGCATAAATAATATTTGTTTGTGCGGTGAAGGTCATCTGTCAGAGTCTAATGACAAGTGTGTTTCAAGTAAGTTAATCGACGGTTCAAACCTAAATATTATATCTTTATTAGAACAACTAATTGTTTTTTTCGTACAAATAGAAGATTATCTAAAATGGAGTTAGACAATTTGCTAATTAAAACGTCGTGATGTCGCTTTAGTTATAAAGTGCACGGAGACAATTAAATAGTACAAATTATCATCTTAATAAAAATCTAACTATTGCATTTTAGGAGTTGAGTTTCAAAAGGGTATCTTTTCATTTTTGATTAATCGAGATAAAAAACTAGATATCTTTAATTATAAATATTTTTATTGAACTTTTTTAATTTAGCTATAAAGTGCTATTGGTTATAAAGTTACAATTCAATTTTCATTTAGAAATATTTATAATTCTCAAAGTAATTAATATTTAAAAGTTCAAAAAACTGCTTTTATAAAATATGATAAAAGATATCCTTTTCAAAATCAGCTCCTCATTTGTCCTTATGACGGAACTTTTGGAAAATTTTGCTATATATTTTGACTCAGCTCGTCATCCTCATTCAGAAAATACATATGGTTCAAAAGTTTATGTACGAAGTGTATATATATATACGATATAGCGCGGCTTGTGTCCACCATAACTACGATATTTATTCTTTAGTTAGTTAAAAAATGCCAGCGGCTTGAAATTTTTGAAAATTCAAAATTTGTCACTTTTACTGCTTTTTCCCCCAAATAACTTTTGAACAAGATTTTTTTTGGTTTTTGTAAATTTCATTTCAAAGCCAGTAAAATGAGCTTCAATTTACAAACCTGCAATTTTCTCCGTGTGAGGTTCTGTAATATTTTTTCTCTGGACGTTTTAGACCAATTGGCAAAGCAATGTGAAGTAGATGATCATTGTAAAGCAGTACTTGATTCAAAGTGCGTAAATAATTTTTGTGTGTGTAATCAGCACCACGTTCTCATTGATGGGTCAACTTGTGCACCATTATTAAACGAACATTGTGAAGAACATCAACAATGCGCTCCCGAAAATTCGATTTGTGTCGATCATAAGTGCAAATGCAAGGATGATTACAAGAAACATTTTAATTACAAATGTATATCAACATTAGGTAGCTATATTATATTCTAATCTAGGCAATCATTCCAATTATTCAGCGATTCTAATCGTTTAATGTTGCAGGACACTTCAAAATATCTTGCGATAGAGATGATCACTGCGCTGACATTAAATACGCAGAGTGTTCAAATGATAATAAATGCGCGTGCAAATCAGATTATGTTCCTCTGGGTGATGATAAGTGCGTAGCACTTTTGGGTCATTACTGCGATCACGACATCGAGTGTATTTTTTACAATTCAGTTTGTATTGATCATACGTGTAAATGCGGGGAAAAATTCGTGATGCGATCGGAGTATCAATGTGACCCTAGTAAATATAACTCTTTCTTTGATTATTACAGACGCAATTATAAGAACTAATTGTGATTAATTATATTTCTTCAGTTTCGCTGGGAAGAGTCTGTAAGAGGGATCGTGACTGTGAAGTTGCGATTAAAAATTCTAGATGCTCTGAAGATAAAATTTGCATTTGCCAGAATAATTATTACGCTTTCAACAAATTTGGATTATTATCTTTTGAATGCGCACCTTCTTTGAATGAGCGTTGTGCAAGTAACGATGACTGTCGGTTCAATTTTTCTGCTTGTATTGATAATCGATGTCAATGCGAACCTGGTTTCCGATCTGTGTCTGGGAATCAATGCCAGAGAAGTGAGTAAAATTTAATGGTAAAAATATTTTATCAGAAAAAAATAAAGATCGAACTTGATCATTGTTCATTAATCTTATATACTTCATATGTGATCAATCTGATCAGATATATTTTATATGCTTCATATGTAGTCATGTATACTTCGTATGTGATCAGTGTGATCAGATACATTTAATATCCTTCATATGAAGTCATAAATACTTCGTATGTGATCATGTATACTTCGGATATGATCATATATATTTTATATGCAATTATATGCTTCATATGTGATCGATGTGATCATATATATTTCATATGTGATCAATGTGATCAGATACATTTTATATACTTAATATGAAGTCATATATACTTCGTATGTGATCATATATACTTCATATGTAATCACATGCTTCATATGTGATCAAATATCCATTATACACTTAATATGTGATTATATATGTACTTGATATGTTTTATACGTAATCATGTTTGCGTCATATATGACCACTATAATCATATATTTTATATGTGATCAAAAATACTTCATACGTAATCCTTCCTGGCCCTAATTCATAATGAATACCATGGTTTCAGTTGATTCGTTGAATACCTGCACAGAATATCTCGATTGTGGTGATCCATGGCACAACAAATGTTCGGGTGATAAAAAGTGTATTTGCAACAGAAATAATACTGCAATAAATAAATCCACATGCCGGCCACTTTTGGAAGGCTATTGTTGGGTAGATCATCAATGTGTTACTAAATATTCTAAATGTATTGATTATGGGTGCAAATGCATACAAGGCTTCAAAGCTGCATCTGATAACCTTTGCGTGCCAGTTGATAAAAATTTTTAGTGACTAAAATTCAATGTCATATAGCAAATAATACATTTTTTACTAATAATTTAATTTTGTACTTTTGGAGTTCTAAAAATTTTTCTATTGTACTTCCAACGATCGATCCAATCATCATAATTTAGAACCCAACAATAAAAATTTTATTAGAAATTATTTTTGGAGTAATAATGTTGTTTTTTTTTTTCAACATATTTTATTACTAGAAAGTGATTGTAAAAATGTAGTCGTAAAAAAAATCTTTTTTTAATAGCTTACTTAATCATTTGTAAAAATATCAAATCAATTTTGGGTAGTCGACGTGTCAATAAGTAAGTCAACCAACCTAGCATACAGTCAAAGTTTATTAGATTTTAACTAAAGTCTTTTTTTTTTTTAACTTTGATTAATTATCCACTCAAAATGTCAGCTTCAACTTTGAGTGGAATATTTATATTAATAATTATAATTGAAAGCTCTCCTTTTTTGGTCGATGATAATCCAGAAAATCAGTGCGTGCTAAGGGATGTTAAAGTAAGTAATTGATTATATGATTATTAAATATGTTATAAAAGAAGATTTTCATGAATAATCTTCTTTTTCGGTAGTGTAAGCCCCCTTTACAGCGACCGTGCTGTAACCCAAATGACTATTGCAAGCAGATGGACTCCGAAGATTCATTCAAGTGCACGGAAAAAAATTTAAAACGTAATTGAACAATCTCTGAAAAAGTTCAAAAAAGTTATTTTTTTTTTTAGTACACTGTTAATTTTATAATTTTTAGCTGAGTTGGGAAGATTTTGTGAAGTACATGAGGACTGTGATGGAATATGGCATTCAAAATGTTCAAAAAACAAGTGTGTTTGCAGGGAAAAAAATGTTAAATACAATGACACAGTCTGCGCTCCAATATTGGGCGGATTTTGTTGGAAAAATGAAATATGCGTGACTGAAAATTCTGTTTGCATTGATCAGGAGTGTCAATGCAAGGAGAATCACACTCAAATTTTGAACAAGTGCATATTTAGTAAGTTATAACGTATTAAATACACGGAGAGAAGTAAATAACAAAAATGATGATCTAATAATTGTAGTTTTTTGAATTTAACTCAATTCCGGATAGGAATTAATACTATTTAGGTTATTAAGTAAAAAATCTCTATTAAAGTATCTACCAACTCTATAATTTTATTTACAATCATTTATATTAATAACAGCTGTTTGATTAATTCGTCCTCTGTATTTTCAATGCAATCAGTACTTTTTGATACCGTTTTTATTGTTTTCAATTTTTTTTTACAGGGTGAATTAATTTATATTAAATTTTGAACACTTTTATGTGTAAATTTAACATTTATTTTATTAAATCAACACAAAAAAGTGTTAAATATTTAACATAAAAATTTTTTACACAAAATTTTTTGACGCAAAATTTTTTACTGTATATCAAATTTTTGGATTTTTGAAAATCTTACGTTTAATTTACATTTTTAATGTTTACAATTAGGATTTTATGATACTTTATTATAGAAATTTATATTAATTCTAATTCCAAAATTATAAAACTAATTTTTTAAACACTGGACAAATTTTACTGGCATCTTAGCTAAAAATTTCGTATTGTCGATAATATAATATAACTTTCTCCGTGTATTAAAAATTTTTTTTATGGCTTGTATTTTTCTTTCTGATAAATTAATCAAAAAGCTATGCTTGTTTCAAAATATAAATTGAATAATGTGACTTATAATAATTATTAAAGACGTTTTGGGCACACATTGTGAAAACGATGAAACTTGCCAGCAAGTAAAATTTGCAAAGTGTGCGACGGAAAAAATCTGTACCTGTCCACCAAGTGTTTTGCAAGTGAACCAATATTGCAAATCTCCAATGGATGGTTTTTGCTGGTCTGACGATGATTGCTCAATTAGTGCGTCTATTTGCGTTGATAATAAGTGTCAATGCGAAGACGGAATGGTATTTTATACTAATAGATGCGTAAAAGGTAAATTGTTTTAACTGGTTAATAAAACTAAAAAAAAAACTTGAATTGCAGATAATATTAAAGTATAATTTCAGTTTTCATGAATATGCCATGCGTAAATCACCGCGAATGCAGTTCTCATATGCCCTTTTCAAAATGTTCTCCTTCCGATAGGTGTACTTGTGAAGCATATTATTCTGATCACATAGGCCGATGTGTACCTAATCCAGTAAATTTGTGTAGTACTAATTATTCCTGCCAAGTACTAAATACATTTTGCAATAAGCATGTTTGTGAATGCGAGCCTGGATTTGTGTATCGTCATGACGTATGTTTTCCTAGTAAGTACACAACTAAAAAGTTAATTCGATGTAAGTAAGAAATTTCTTTATCTAAAAAATTATTTTATAATTTTACTTTATTTAAAAATTTTTCTGCTTGATTAAAATTAATGAAATTCTTCAAAATTATATTTTTGGTTTAAGATTTTATTTTTTTTATCAATTAAATTATTTTAATTAAAACCACAGGCAGTATTAGTGTGTAAAATAATTTATTTTTCAAAATTTTTAAACCTATTCACACATCAATAGACTTTTCGATAAAAATTTGACTTTAAAATCGAACTTAAGAATAACTTGTTAAATTTTGAAAATATTTTTAACCGAGAAAACTATTCTGAAGAATATGATAATTTTTTTTATGACACTGAAGTTAGCAGACTCGTAAAAATTTTTGATTTTTTTTATTAATTAAATTATAACTAAAAAGATATTTTTAAAAAATTGCACTTGTAGCTTTTCAAGTTTTTTATATGTGAAATTTTTTTTTTAAATTTTTTAATTGAAATTTTTTCCATAAAAAATTTCTAAAAATTTTGAAATGTCGGCTAACTTCATTTTCATAATTTTTTATGAAGCAAAAAAATTTTAATTAATTTGATTTTTATTATTTATGTGTTATAAGAATTGCTTGAATTAATTTTTAAAAATAAATTTTTTCTTCCGAAGTAAGTAATATGAATAATTATATTGTAGTTTCTCTGGAAGATTCTTGCATAAATAATTATAGTTGCCACCCGATACCCAATGCAATATGCTCAATAGATAAAAAGTGTGAGTGTGCTGAAAATCACCTACGAATGCATAAAAGCAGTTGTATACCAGTGCTTGGTGGGAATTGTAAAAATAATACCGACTGCATAGTTGTAGATTCTATATGCAGTAACTTACATTGTCAATGCAAACCAGGTTTTGTGAATCGCACAAAAAATGAATGTATTTTTGGTAAGCCTTACATCAGCTAATTTAAAAATCAACCAATTTTGACAAAAAGTTATAATTAATTTTCAGTTGGATTAGGAATTAATTGTAGATATGACGATGATTGCCGTGCTATTGAGAATAGTAAATGTTCTGAGAAAAAAATATGTGAATGCATAGAAAATTCTGTTAAAATTAATAGCACAGTGTGTTTTCCAATTTTTGGTACGCGGCGTCGACTTATCTGCTTGAATAATAATAATAATTACCGACCCGATGATGACTCTAAGACTCACAAGAATAAATACAAACAAAGTAAGTCAATGTACTTTCTAAGTGTATCAGAGATAATTTTACCTTTTTGTAATTCCTGGATGTTAATTTAGGTTACAAAAAGATCGAATGCAAGGACGATGATGATTGTGCACAAATCTCTAACGCGAAATGCATTGACTACACTTGTTCATGCAGAGAACATTACGCCATGATTAGTAATACGACTTGTGCGCCATTATTGGGCCAATACTGTCAGTTGCTGGAACAATGTGCTACCCCGAAGTCTGAGTGCATTGATAAAAAATGCCAATGCGAAGAGGGTTATGTAAATTATTTTAATAATATATGCGTATCAAATGCTGGTGAGTAATAATGTACCTTTGAGTTTTTTATGATCGGTAATGATCCATATTGGAATTAATTGCAGGTAATTTTGGAATATCCTGTACAAGTGACTACTATTGTATTAATTATAAATATGCAGAATGCTCTTATGAAAAAAAATGCGCGTGCAAATCAAATTACGTCGCTCTTGGCGATGATCAGTGTGTAGCACTTATAGGCGAGTACTGCGACTCGGATAGCGAATGCATTTCTTACAATACTGTATGTGTTGATCATAAGTGCGAGTGTCCGAAAAAATTCGTCATGCGATCGAAGTATCAGTGTGATCGGAGTAAGTAGTGTACTTTTTAGTTCATACACGGAAAAAATCCTTTATTAAAAAGTCGATGTAACGTTTTCATTGTTATTGTCGCTTTAGGTTGCTATGGGGTAATCACTTTGGCAACGGTTACCGTAGCAACGATTACTATGACGACGATTGCCATAGCAACGGTTACTATGACAACGGTTACCATGGCAATGGTTAAATATTAATGAATAAATATTAAAATTTGTAAAAATATTGATTTATTAAATTGTGGATAGTAAATATTTTGATAGAAGCGCGTTTGATTTTCTAGTTATATTTAAAAATTACAGGTATGAGGATGTTAAATTTACATGGTTAAATAGTGTAATATTCATTAAAAAAGTTAATGTGATATATGGTGCGTCAAGATTCAATCTCTAAAAGCAACCTTTTAAAATTGGAATTTTGAGTTCCGCTTTTAGCAAGAGTTAGGTTTGGGCATTTTCTGAGATATTTTGATGTGTCAGGATTTATTTGATGCTCACATAATTGTTTAACCGGAGTTTTGTTGGAGCATTTTTTCTGGAATTTAAAAATTTCAAAATTTGGCCGAACTAAACTCCTCTTAAAAAATTCTGTGAATATAAAATAAATCATGACACACCAAAATATATCAGGAAATGCCCAAATACAGCTCCTATTGAAAGCGAAACTCAAAATTCCAATTTTAAAAGGTTACTTTTGAAGATTAAATTTTGACGCATCCTAATGTGATATTTTCATTGTTGTCGCTTTTCATTGCTATGGTGACCACTTTAGCAACGGTTACTATGGCAGCAGTTACTATAACAACGATTAACTTAGCAACCGTTACTATAGCAACGGTTAAATATTAATGGGTAAAATTTGTAAAAATATTGATTAATTAAATTGTCAATAATAAAAATTTTGACAGAAGCGCGCAAAGCGCGTTCGATTTTCTAGTATTCATTATAAAAACAAAGGTGTTAAATTTAGAGAAATGTATATCTATAAAAATAACATATCTGGGAAAAATTGTTTTTTATATAATACATTTTTCAAATGTAAAAATTAGAATTTTTTTTTGTAAATTAAACATGTTAAATTTATATTTTTCTTGATGTAAATCTACTTTTTGGATTGATAGTTTTTGTAATGTAAAAATAACATTTTTATAATGTAAATTTGACAGTTATATCTTAACAAAAGTTATAATGTATATTAACTGATTTTGTTTCCACAGTTTCACTTGGTAAAACTTGTAAACAGGATTATGACTGCCAAATTGCAATGAATAATTCATTATGTTCAAAAGATAAAGTCTGTGTTTGCAAAGAAAATCATTATGCTCTGAACAATTATGAATGTGTACCTTACTTGTACGAAAAATGTACAACCGACTATGATTGTCATTTCAATTTTTCTGCCTGCATTGACAATCAGTGTCAATGCACTGTCCTCTATCGATCTGTGTCGTTTAATCGATGTGAACTTTGTAAGCTAAATGAACTTGCCAAAAATTTCTTTCAAAGCCTCTCTAATCATAATTACGCAGCTTCTACTGATCAAATCGCACTTGTCACTGTTTCAGTTGGTTCTTTGTACAGCTGTGAAAAAAATATAGATTGTGGCGACCCCTGGCACAACATATGTTCTAAAGACAGAAAGTGTATTTGCAACAACAATAATACTTACATAGATAAATCCACATGCTCGCCACTTTTAGGTGGATATTGTTGGACGGATCACCAATGCGTTGTTAGAAACTCAATATGTGTCGATTTCCACTGCAAATGCCGTGGTGATTTTAGGCCTATATCATCCAATATGTGCATGCCCGTAAAACCATAAAATACAGGAAAAAAATAATGAAAATAATTAATGAATAAACTTTTTAGATTAATAAATAAATAAATAATAGAAATAATATTACAACAGAAAATAATAAATGATAATTGAATGTCGTCGATGATTCAATATCATTATTTTTAATAAAAGTTTAATGATATCTTAAGTTCAATAAATTTTTAATAATGTCTCTATTACAGGTCAATAACTTTGACAATAATAAAACCATCGATGAAAAATTATCTTTCTAGGTATTAATATTATATGTTGCAGTTTTGTGATTCTACTAATCTATATAATTAAGAGAATAAGCAAAATTTTGTGGCCAGTGTATTTATATGATAAAATGGGTTTTTATGGTTAAATTTGGTATTGTTGATAAGGTATTGACTTGAATTTGAGCCTTTTCAAGGTTTCATATCATTCTCACCGATAGTCAATTTATAATGATAAGTATTTAGGCTGCATTTAAAAATACCCTATCTCTAGATAGATAATTAAGAAATGACCTTGTATCTCGTGAACTATTGACATTTTTAAAGATATAAGCTCATTCCGATGTTACACTCATCAAGACCTTTCATTTGAGTACCTACATCAATTTTTTATATATTTTTCATATATACATAATATAATATAACATGTGTTTTAAAGATATAAGCTCATCCCCATGTTACACTCATCAAGAGCTTTCATTTGAGTACCCACATGCATTTTTGATATATTTTTCATATATACATATATATAATATATATATAAATAT